TAGCTAATTTAATGTTGCTCACTTTGCTATCAGTAAACACAGACATTGGGGGACATGTATTAAAGACAGTTTTGAATGGCTTGAGTTCACTGTACAATTCGGAATGCACGAAACACCGGTTAGCAGAAAATAAATAAAATTATTTTTTCATGTATTTTACATGAAGTCTATCTTCCACGTAACATTAATGCACTATGGCGAGTAACTCTCTTGACAACACTAAAGTGTGTTGGTGGACTGTATGCCGAATAAACCAGATACAAACCATTAACAGCAGGTGGTGAATCAAGTTAAATGTGTTTTGGGGGATTACCGTTACACCGTTTGGCATAGAGAGGTCCTGTGACGTTTTCGCCATACAAATGAGCAGCACGCATTCGACTTACGCTACTTGACACAGCACGTGCAAACACCGCTGCGGGACAACAAAACAATAACAACACACGAACACCACAAATCCGCAAAATGTTTGTAGTTGAAGCAAACTGGTCGTATCAATCTTACATTCGTGGAAGCTGGAGCGGTGGCGCCCCTCTTCTCTGGAACACCCCATCAACAAACACCCCGTTTTTTCCGAGGCAACGGAGGTAGAATTCCCCCGTGCCGGTGCCGTCTTCCCCCGCGGTGAATATTTCGAGGTGCCGCCGGGAGATAAAGCTGGAGTGTCCCATGCTGACATCCACCGAACCCTGGGAGGAGTTCCGGCCGATGGTCACCGACCTTTTCTTCATCAGATACTCGAATTCTCGGCCCTCCAGCCGGGCTACAGCCGACCCCGACATCCCGCTTACCACCGCCATCTTCAGATGTATCTGGTGGAGATTTGGAGGTGTGTGTTGAGCGGAAACGTAGAAGCGGTTGCAGGGAATTGAAGGGGGGATATTTTTGGTTTCGTGAAAAAAAGGGGGGGATCAAATTTTACACCGTGGAGAATTTGGCTAGGAACGTGCCAGACCGGGGACACAGCGGCTCCGACCCACCGCCGCGAAGAAGAGGAAAAAGAGAGGCACGTCGGCCAATCAAAACCGGCCAAACGGACGGAAGTGCCGCGACGGACAATCCGTTAAACCAATGGGAAGCCGGCCTGGGTAGGCAGATGTGTGGTGCTTACCAATGACAACAATAATAAAAATAACCGTATAAAATAGAGGTCGGTTGCACTGCAGGTTGACACGCAGATGGGTGGAGAGATGTAAAAAGCGGCGCAGTGATTTATAGGAGGTGATTTTGACATTTTTCGACGTACTGTACTATGACTTTTTTCAACATACAATGCTATAAGTTTTTTCTTGATATTTTTTGCCATGACATTTTTCTACATACTATAACTTTTCTTTTTGGACATCCCCATTAACAAGTTCTGTTCTGTAAATGGCTCTACTTTTGTTCACTTCTCCAAAGATTTTCTCGACTCATCTTCCCTGTTTTATTTTTAACTGACAGCATTTAATGAACCAGCAGACTTGTTTTGGGATCATTGTACTAAATATTCTGATGGTACCACCAAACGCAGTGGTGGGCCATCAGAGCCAGCTAAGCCTTCTCTGCTGGCCTAAACAGAATCACAAAGTTATAGCTATTTTATAATTTAATATTTTTTCACAAATACACTACATGTATTAAAAAATTTTTCCCCATTGGCTTATTTTCTCATGGCACAGCTCCTGTCTTCCTCTGTTGCTCTGCTTCCAGCCTGCAGCGCTGCTTCCAGCACAGCTTGTTTTAAGGAGAGCTTTTATCCAATCAGATTCAGCCTCTATGTCTCTATGTAAGGAGAGAGGCCCGAGGCCCGCTAGAGAGCCTTTGCAGTTTAAGTAAATGGGGACATTGTTGATTGTCATAGTCTTCAACCAATCAGATCTTTAGTTTGACATGTTGGGCGTATTCTTTGACGTGCCAGTGGTACTCAGGTAGCCTGCTAAGTACATCTGCATTAACGTGCAGCGTGATTGGTCAGTGGGCCAGCCTGACTTTTGTCAAACAGAAAGCTAGCTAGCAGATGTTAGTATTTAGTAAGAGTTCAGATTGAAACATATGTAGGAGAAGTTATGACATTTTTTGCGTTTTGCTTGGTGTAGATTCTTTTTTTTTTTTACCTAGCTTTGTTTTTTTAACACTCAAGGAGGAGGAGAAATGGATTTAGGAGTTACTGACTTTGTTAACAAAGAAAGGAGGATGGACTTTGTCTTTAAGTGAAGGCAGCTTTGGTACGTAAGTTTTTGGTTTTTTTACATCTGCAGTAGCGCTACTACTGTGTTCATTTGTCTATCGTGTCGTTTTTATGAATAATATGAATGGCTCGTGCTCTAGCTAATTACATTGATTCTGGCTTGTCCGTTAATGACGAAGCATCCCGTCATCGCAGGGTTAGGTTCGGACATTTGATTCTCTGTTTGGGCTGTTGTTTTCTTTAACAAAGCAAGAATGATGGTCTGGAGAAATAGGGATTGTGTGGCGATTGCTTTTGCCCTGTTTGAATCAGTAGCTGCTGTTGTTTCCCTGCTAAGCTAGTTTAGCTTAGCCTCCCTGAAGACACGTGCGGTGCCTCAGCTGTTTTTTGTTATTGTTCCAGGTTCAAAAGGTCACACAGCCTGTTGTTTGTTACGTCAGCGCAGTCCACCGTAAACATTATATTTCCCACAATTTAAGCTTCTGCACTTTCCAAATGCTCTAGTATTATTCAAACGTATTGTTCAGTTCGTAAGCCTCGTACCGAACGGTTTAATACGAATACGTGTATTGTTACACCCCTAGAAACAAATAACCGTAGCTTGCGCGTCGTAATAAGATTATTAGGAGATGGTTCAAGTGTAGGACAGCACAGAAGACCCAGGTATAAAATGCACGGCCCGCCACTGACCAAACGTCTGCGTCTTCTTGTACAGCTCTACATTCATCAGTCAATGATAATGAATTCCAAGCCAGATGGCAGACTGTTTTGGTAGACTGTGAAAATATTTTTCTATTCCACGATGACTGGTTTTCTGGCCACTTGGGGGCAGCAGAAACAAGCTGTTTGATCCCCCACCAACTCCTGAGCTAAATATCGGGCTCTTTAATGCTGCACTTTTTTCACCAGCTTGCTAATACTAGCCCCACACTAGAGGATAATTGGGCAGTTCACTCCCCAGTATGGACCCTGCATTAAATTAGACTTGTTTTTTTTCATGAATACATCTTCTGTTTTTGTACTCATATTTATTTATGTATTTGTTTGGTTATCACCCTTTTCACACTCATTATTCTCATTGTCATTACTTTATTTATTTATATATATTTTTTATATATCTTAATTTGGGGCACTGTGACGGTTCCCTCTTGAGCTGACTTATGCAACTGACTGGGTCTGGGACCTGTTTCTTTCTAAACAGATCAAACCCAGAATGGGCCAGCCCCCTCATTAAAGGGTCTGGGGGCGACCCAAAGCTGGACCAACCAGTCAAAAAAATATTTAAAAAAATACACGTTACATTACAAAACAATTGACTAAATAATATTTCTTGTCAATAACTACAAAACGAAACAATAACCCGGTTGACCCTGCCTGACCGATCCTGCTGACCTGTTCTGGAGCTCCCTGAGGGTGTCCTGCTCCTGCTTCGCTGCCAGTGGACAGTTTATTGATGTTATCATTTTGTAGTTTATGTTACGTATTTGCCCTTTTATTTATTTACTTTCTTATTGTCTTTTCTATCATTTCACATAGCTCTCTCTCACACCCACCCACACACACACACACACACACACACACACACAAACACACACATCACTCTGTTCATCCATACACTGATGACATGATGTTAACTGGCCTGTATTCACTGTTCTTGTCGTCTTCTTGTTGTTCTGTTTATGAATTGTCTGTTGTCTTGCAATAAAACATTTTTTTTTCAATTAATAATTTAGAAATATAAGGGAAATTAATTGGCACATACATGCAGACTTAAATAAGTTTTCCAAACTTCAAAAGTGAAGTGGGCATTAAGAAAGATTTAAATAAACCCATCATGGATCCGGTTCCCTAACGGATCCAGGCAGCCAGGGTTTCCGTGCTGCGGGTTAGTTTACTAGCTGTAGTACGGCGGCCACCACCACGCTGTGAGCGGCAGTGTGTACTGCTCTGTGTACATATGGAGGTTGTGTCAAATAATGGATGCAAAATCCCTCTAACCCTACATCGCCACAGAGGCAGACTCTGATTCTTACCGAGCCCCAGCGCCCCGGGCTGTCAGTGTTCGGATGCCGGTGGATGTGTTCGTTCAGACCGCATCAATATTCAAGAAAAACGTGCTGCACCGGAGAAAACCCATGCGCCATGTCACACGTGTTTCTCTGGCAATGACGTAATCATATCTAACTGAGCTGCGTTCAGGACCGATGCGTGGTTGTTGATTGATGTTCAGTTCTGTACTGTTTTTGTGGACGTTAAAAAAAATGTGCTTCCAAAGTAATTAGCTGCCAATAACTTGAAAGAAACGATATGAGAATGCCGGCAAAATAATCTTCAACTTAAGGACCCTTATTAGCTTTTTTTCAGACATTTCAACCTTATTTTACGGCCTTCACCAGTGAGTTTTTCCCGTTGATAATATAACGTATATCCTAAGGTACTAAGATTTAAGATCATTCATAATGTGCACACATGCACACATTAATATATATCTGATAAACGTATAAAATAAAAACAGGGTACATTCTGTTTGCTGATGCAGGCCATGAGATGTGGTTAGACCCCAAAGAAAGCTATAAGAAACCTTCAGTTAAGATTGTTTCATTTCTTACTGCTTTAACTCTAAAACATATCAGAGAAATCAGATTAAAAACATAAAAATTCAGTAGGTCACATCATTAAAATACTTCAATTAATTTATATAAAGATTACTTTTAGTGCTCTGTTGCTGAGAAATATAATAACATGAGTTAACATATATGTAAGCAATTTCTGTAAATGAGTAGTATCACATCATTTCTTCACCTGATGGTGTGGTGCTCATGGTGTTTGCGATTCTTTGAGCCCTCTGCCTTTACACATCAATGTCCACATACTGGGATCCGAACTGTGGCATTTGTTTCTGAACTATTATAAACGTACTACTCACTGCTCGTGTACTGTTACCAGTAGTGTATGTTTGTAGCGGTATTTAAGTTTTTACTCCAAAACCGATGAACTTATGTGACTTCATTTACATGTTCCACATCATCAACTATTTGATGCTGTATTTTTAGATTTGGCAGAAGTGGCCAATCTGATTGTCCACTACCGGTCCTTGCATTTTCATTTATTTCAATCCCATACAAATTTATATTTCACATCATTCATTTTGTTTTTGTAAACGGCATCAAAGTGCTCCGCCTCTGCCGGTGTTAGTTGGTTTTTCCAGTCTCCAACAATTCCTGAAACACAAAATGTAAGAAGGGGAAACGTAACGAAATGATGCGTGAAATGAGCTCTCTATTGTAAATTATGTTTTTAATGTAATTTTGCTGTATTTGCATTAGGTCTGGAAACCAGTTAGTAGTATAGGTATAGGGAGGCACTCCTAGAAAGTGTGCTTCGCTCAATGAATCACACAAAATAACAAGTGGAATTGAAATAGTATTCTTCGTTGGAACTCACCTTTCCTGAGAAATTCAGACTTTGTCTGGTCCATGACTTCACGAGGAACGGTGGAGTAGTTTGACATTTTGTTCTGCTTCATGTTCTTGAACAAGCATCGGTCCGCTATCTTCTCTATCGCCTCAGCGTCCAGAGATTTCTGCAAGAACCGAGCCATCCGGGCCACGGAGTCCTTCAGGTCCTGCACCACAGAGACACACAGATCGCCTCACATTGGTTTTTGATTCCTGCAAAGCCTCAGGTGCACCAGAGACAGTTCAGAAAGCACCACGCCCACTTAGGGAAACAAGAAGAGTGTGCCGGTGCAAAACCACTGATGGAGCTTGTAACGCGTCGTCTTTGTTACAGAGCCTCTTTGGCTGTACTTTGTGTGTAACGCTCATTAGCAAATGTGAGTAGGCCTACGGTACCACGCTAAACTGAGTCGGTAAAACCTACATTTGCTAGACATAATAGTAATGATGATAATTTACATTTTATCTATACACGCACCGATGCTTTACATAATAGAGGAATGCTAAAAGCACAATAGGTGTAGCATGTTAACACGCTGAATTTAGCATGTAGCTTCAAGCACAGCTGTGCTAAATGACAGCCTCGTAGAGACGCCTGCATGGTTGTAGACTTGTTGACATTCTCACCGTCATCATCTCTTCATAGGAGATGTGCATTATGCACTCTCTATGTTCAGCATTCAGCCAGCTCTTCACGTGATCAAACCACGAGCCATACATAACTAGAAGGAAAGAGAAAATCACAAACGCTCCATCATCACGAGTCACTTTGAACGTTCAGGTCTTTGAACAGCAATGCACATGTTACATCTTATCACGATACATTTCACTCTTACTGCCAATGGCATACAGCTCAGGTTACTGCCTCTTACTCTATTAAGTATTATGATTATTGACATATATGTTAAACTTGAAACAAAATTGAGTACAACCTTTTCCTTCAAAGAACGTGTGGAGGAAGTCGCTCTGCGGGCCCGGGTTGACCAAGTAGGAGACCATCCCATGATAATGAAAGGCAGAGGTGAACACATCTTTGGGGTTCCTCATCACATTGATGACCTGGAATGATGTTATCACATCCGTTATTAACTTAGATGTTTTCTATGACACCAAAAGGTAAAGGTGCGCCAATCAGACTTGCCCTCGGCTTAACGTCAAAGAAAGATGGAGGCATCATGTTGTACTGGAAATGTGTAGTTAACATGCGTGGAGACGGCCTCTCCTCGAGGTTAAGGACGGAGGCTTGAGTCGTCTCCAGGCAGGGAACACGCTCCCAGGTGGGGAGAGTCTCAACAGAGGCCGGATCTCCTCCACTCATGATCAGAGGGACAATCTCCTGCGTCCAAGTCGTACCTGAGGAGTAGGACAGCAGGAATGTCCTGAAATCTGTAGGTGGACTTCAAAATATTTAATAGTTTATCTTTTTCTTTAAAGGCACAGTGTGTAACATTTAGGGGGATTCATTGGCAGAAAATTAATATAATATTCATAACTATGTATATAATCATTGGGAAAAAAAGGCTTTTTTACCTAAATGGGGGGGGGGGGGGGGTCCTCTTTCACGGAGTCCACCATGTTTCTACAGTAGCCTAGAACGGACAACCCGTACACTGGCTCTAGAGAGGGCCTTTTTATGTCATCCGAAGGCTGGTGTTTTTTTATTAATACCTTTTAATGTTTTGGTGTAACTTATTATCATGCTGCAGCGCACATCTCTGCTCTCTCTGTCGGGCTGAGCTCCTCCAACTACACGCACACACACACACACGCATACCTAGACACACACACATGGCTTCCATGGATACAGTTCATTGAATTGATAAGAGTAGCTCCTTGTATTAATAAAATCCTAAAGATAACTCTCCCCACTTGAAGCCATCGAAGTTCTCCGACACGCGTGGAAAAGGAGGGGTCAGCGAAAACGGTATTTAGTTGGTTGCAACACACCACTCGGTGCCACTAAATCTCACACACTGTTCCTTTAAATAAATAAATAAACAAATCAATCCCGTATTAGTCCCGCAGTGGGGGAATTTATTCTCTGCATTTAACCCATCCCTAGTAGGGATTCAGTGTCTTGCTCAGGGACACTTCACCACAGGACAGGTGGTAGCCAAGGAACAAACTTGTGATTAGTGGACGACCCTCTCTACCCGATGCGCCACGGTCGCCCCATAAGGAGTGGATGATGGTTGCAGGATGAGTGGGGGAGTTTGGGGGTTAGGGGGTTTGAGGGAGGAGGCCCTTGGGCATCAAATCAGTTGAAAAACCGCTTCAGCTCATCAGCCCAGAATTCCCTTTTCATTTATTTCGGGGCGGTCCGTGAGCGTCTGTCTAGCGCCATAGTTTGTGCAGTGTGTCCCGCTCGGTTTATTAAAAAAAAGGTGGAGCCTGTTGGTGAGAGAACCCGCTGCAATTGGCTGTCGAGTTTAAAGGTGCATAATATGAGATTTGGAGCATTTCAACTGCCTCCAAACGGCTCGTAGCTAGCGATGCTAGGAGCGCTAACAGTAGCCTACAAACTACGGCAAACGTGCTGACAGGGCTAACAGTGTTTACTGGAGGGGGAACCGGAGGGTGGCTGCTATAGAAGGAAGAAAGGAGCAAGCGAGCAGAACAAACCAATTGGGGTCTGATAAAGTCAATCCAACTTGACCATTATACATGACAGCTATTGCATTTCTGTCCATCCCGAGAGAGGGTTCCCTCCTCCTCTGTTGTCCTCCCTGCAGTTTCTTCCTTTTTCTTTTCTATTAAAGTTTTTTTTTTCATTTTTGGGAAATTCTCTTATTTGCTTTCTTGCAGAGATATAGATGAGACGATTTCACATGGCTTACATGAACCAAAATAAACGGCGCGTATAGAGACACGACCACTACCACCTTGCGCTTGAGTGTGCAACATTGTTTTAATGAGGGTGCAATGCATGCAAAGGCACAGCCACCAAGGTGAGGTCCCTCTCTGGAGATGCCAAAAGTAGCATTTGTCTTTCACTGATCTGATAACCGTGCACTGATTTTTTCCTGTCTTTATATTTATGGCCAAACACAAAATAAAATGATGTTTTTTTTTAATACCTCACATCTGAGTTTTTTTTCGAGATGTCGCAAACATCTCTTTTTTTTCTCAACCACTACATCATATTAAAATTAACTGCTTTTAACAGTAAAATGTTTGCATGATGACGAACTCACTAGTAAAAAAAAAGACTGCTTACCGGACTTGGGATATGTTGCAATGATGATATCATCCGGACGAAAAGAAAACTCCTTGAAGTATTTCAGGCTCTCTGCAGTGTGCCAATATTTGGGGATATAGATCCCTCTGTAAACTGTGTATAACTCTGCCTCAGTCATAGCCCAGAGGAACAATGAGTAGATCCTCAGTAGAGTTAGTCGGGTGCAGGCTGCTGTCAACTGGGAGCTGTTGGGTTCTTGTCTTTACTGTCGACTGCTGACACTCTAACAAAAACCTGTTCAGGTGGGCGTTGTGGGTGGGGTTGATGTGTATCTACAGAAACTTCTTTAAAGCTTCTGTAGACCTACAGTCCGTGTTGTTGGAATAAAACTGAAGATATTTGCAATTTTACTTGGGAGATGTTTTGCAAGAAACCCTACATGCACTCAAAACAGAAAAAGAAATATTAAACCCCCCACTCCCTCAAAAAAGCTGCTAAACACATATAGCCTTACACAGACTGCACTTCTATTCTTTGTTTTGCTAATGCAATACAAGTTTCTCAAAACGGCACTCATAGGCTTCTTCCTCTGTTTTCGCTGGCTTTTAAACAGACATATTCTCAAATCTGCAGCTCAACGTAAAGCCCGACTGTGAGCATGATACTATTTGTTGGTGTCTATTTATTGTACCATGAGTCAAAGGCAGACTCTGAGATGAGTTATGTCATGTTGGCATTAATGAGAGCAGGTTTTCACCTCGTCTTCCAAAGTGTATCCAGACTTTGCACGTGGTAATATTTGTCCAAGTCTTATCCAAACCCATGTTTTGAAGAGCCAGACTTAGGTTTTGAATTCACTGAGCTATGTGTGTGTCACCTGTGACCGTGTCTGAACAATGTGTGTATTCAGCTTGTTGAATGTTGAATTGCTGGTGTATTTGAGTTTGAATGAAGTCTTTTTGAAGACACTTTGTAGCACTGGTTGTATTCATTCTATCACAAAATACAGAAGTGGTCGTTGCAATCACAACTGGGAGATTCTCAATCTACTGGGTCTTTCTTTAAATGACAAAGCATATATTTTGATCCTGGATCTCCTTTAAATGTGATATCAAGGAGAACTAACAGCATCCGCAGCAGAGGCAGTAGAAGTAATATTAGTAACAAATAATTATAAGAAGTTGCAATCCAAGTGTTGGAGTTACGTGCAACTATAGACTTCCCTGTCATAAGGCTCAGCCTCAGGCCTGTCCATTACACTGTTCCTGCTCACAGTGTCGTTAAGGTCTTGGGGCTGTGCCTGTCTTAGGTTGTCCCCAGCTTTAACAGGGGCATGTTACCTGTGACGGTTCCTTACCTTGTTTACTTGTATGTATGTGTTTCTTTAAGGCAGCAGCAGGTGGTGGTCACCCTAACAGGAGGCACCTGGGGCCGGTGCTCTCCGAGTATAAAGCTCCGCCTTTCTGGCAACGAGGGCGGCCAGGTTGTGACAAATTGGGGTTTTCGGCCGGTTTTGATGGGACACAGGCGTGTTTGATTGGGAGATGCAGTAGTTTGTATCTATTTCAGCATAGAGATTGGGTTTGTATGGGGAGTGGGAGTTTTTTTTAATCTTGTCTCAGTGTGAAAATTGTGAATCAATGTAAGTTATTGTTGTCTGGCTGGTGTACTTAGACTAACTTTGATGCAAACGTTGTTCCCCTGCCAGGTTCAGTGGTGTTACACCTTTGGGTTTCGTCTTGTTTGTTGTTTTTTATTATTGTTGCAGTGAGCACATCCATGGTTCAGGGTGAATCGCCAGTTTCTGGTTGCTTTCTCTCGCCACCGGGCTTCAGTGCGTAATTAACCACCACCATTAGCTGCACGAAGACCAGGGTTGAGCTTGTATGCAGATAGATCATGGTTAGGCAGCCAACTAGAGGGGAGCACTTGTATGCTGGTTAGGCCATAGTCTGTGGTTTGTGCACCAGTAGCATTCACTATTCGTTTCATTGTTTTCATGCGTTAAATATGGAGTGTTGAACTTCTTTGCTTCTCCCTCCGAGAAGTTTTTAGATCTCTGCACTAAAGAGCAGCTGCTGAAAACTGCAGAATAATATGAAATCGACATTGGTGATAAACTTCTAAAGGAGAGTGAAGGCCATTTTGAAATCCAATTTAGTTGAAAAGAAGATTTTGACTGAAGATCCATCAGCTGTTTTTCAGGATGCTACGCGGTCTCCGCCCCAAACGGGATCTTGTTTAACGACTGACAAACAAAAAGTTACTTGCGTTACAACTTGACCACGACAAATTTAACCAAGCAGAACTGGAGAAAGAATTGGCTGTTGGAGAGGCTGCACCAGCAGACCGAACATGCCAAATTAGAGATGGAGCAGTTTAGACTGTCGTTAATTAATGACTACGTGACTACGATTACGTGCTGACGCACAGAGGCGGGTTAGGAGATCACAGGGCTGGTCACAGAGACATTGGTGCTGCCGGTGGCGGGGAGTCATTGGGCCGACATGGTAAAACTTTTCAAAGGCAGTAGTAGTCTGCATAATGCAGAAAAAGTTAAATTATTGTCACAAACGGGGAAACTGGAAGGTTGACTGTCATTGGTTCCCATGTTAAAGGTGTTTGTTTAGCCGCACCCGTTTCTCAAGTCATCATTCCTCACTGTCCTGACATGTCACGACAGTGACCTGACTAACCCGTCGTAGGTGAACCAGTCTTCCATACTCATGTTTTTTTTATTTATCTCTCAAACTTTTCCCTTTAACTCATTTTAAACCATGTCATGAGTCTCTGCATGTTGTAAAACAACACAAGTCTGTGTTCTTGCACACTGTGCCTGCAGCACGCCAGTGGTGTTGAGGTCAAGTTAGGCCTATGTTGTTTGTCCTCAGGTTTCACAGGGGGCATCTTACCTGTCATAGATTTATACTGATACATCACTGTGCTTCAGCTCATTTGCAACTCTATTTAAATTTGAGCCTTTTGAACACATAATACATGAAGGCAACATTTGAACTGAGCATGTTTTTCTTTCAGGAAGTGCTGTTGGACAGATTACGCTGCACGTGGGGCCAGTGTGATATGCGCTGATAAAATATCTGGTGTCACTATTGACGGTGACAGAGATTTCTCCGTGTCCGTGAAAACGTCCCAAGTTGGTGCAGGTAACGTTTTACCAACTCATTACTATCGCTCTGTTACATTTGTTCTGTCCGGACATTTCAGAAAAAAAACCACTGCTTTCCTTTCAGGAACAGTAGATGGAACACTGCTATCCTCTCGGGTACGGTGACACACACACACACACACACACACACACACACACACACACACACACACACACACACACACACACAGTAGTGGTAGAAACCCTCACACAGTAATATACACGTTGACGGGTTAGTTTATTCTTCTAATTGCACATAGTGGGACAAGCCAAGTTAAAGAATGTTAACATTAAAACAATCCTGCAAACCACGTTTCTGAACCAAGAAAGTTTCGTAACAGCCTCGTATCACTCTTGCTGAAACGCACACGTTTCACATTTTGAAGACATTGGTACATGCCTTTATTGCAGTGTTTCACTTGTTTTTTTTGAGTAAAGCTGCTACTGATCCAATGGACATCTGCTAAGTGAGCTGAGCTTAACAAAACTCATCACATTTCTATACTTGCTTATCCCCATTTCATGAAAACCTCATTCATTTAGGGTTGATAAAGAAAACCTGCTGTCTTTCACAGCACCCCGCTGTGAAAATGATCATGGAGCACAAGGTGGAACTCATCGACAGTCTGAGGGCGGATCACTTCTTCCTTCTGCAGCATGCGCACGCCAAACATATCGGCGCACAAAGACAGTATTGGACTTTGAAGCATATCTCACCGCCAGAAGTAGCTGTTGCTAATCTGATCGATCAAGTGATTGTTAATGGACAAGAATCCTGCTCTTTGTCTTGAAGTTCTCAAAGAGCCTGATGTTCTCCAGACCTATCCGCAGCTCATTCAAATCACAAAACAATGTTGGAAATGCAATGTGTTAGCTATTAATGTAATTGATAAAGAGGCTATATATATATATTTTTTTTAATGGTTGTGAAGATATGTTGAGTGATATGAGTTTGTCTTGTCTGTGTGCTTGAGTTTGTACTTTTGGTAATGTTATCTAATGCAAATAAAAGAGATTGAGCAGAGATTCCAGGCTCAAGGCCTCATCTATTGTCAGTTGGAGACACTTTTTTTTTTATTGTTGGCTGTGTCTGACTAATTTATGTATTTCACACACTCTGCATGCTTTTATGCTTTGTGCCTCTGACATGGATGTTTTTTTAGTGTCTAAACAACTACAGCATAATGTCTTTAGGCCATGTTTCTATTTTAACATTGTCATCCCTCATTTTATTTGCGTTGTGTGTTGACTTTGAGAGCCTCTGTGTTGCATGTCTTGTTTGTACTTGACAATGTATAACTGTTTTATTCTCACTTTTTTCATTGTTTGTGCACCCATTGTAAAGTGTCAAAATTGTATAACCTTTTAACTTTAATCTTATCTTCTGTTTTTAGGTTTATTTTTGTAACATCTGCCTCTTGGGACTACAGATGAAAAATAGCCTTTTGGCTATCTCTGGTGCATTTTGCAGAAATGTTTTTATTAATGTGCACTGTCTCGTATCAAATAAACCAATACATTAAATTTGTAAATGTTTATTCCTTCTGACTGGATTCTCCCACACACATGGACAATTATGTGGTTGCCATGTTCAACAGTTTTGTTTCCAGTAAAAAGTATGATGCAATGATCATCCAACCTTTCAAAAGCTTTTACTCAACAAGCTTTTGAATACTATGTCAGACTATTGCGACAGAATCATGTCAATACTTTAAACTAAGCATCTAAGAAACATTGTCATCCTCAACCACACAAGTCTCCTATTAAGGAATGATAAGGCATTCATTTTAATTGAAGGACCCTTTAATGACTTTAATATCTGCACACCTGATCTGCTGTTAAGATGCAAAAACGATTTCTGCTCTGCAGCTCTTTTTCAGCAGGTAAGTGGTTGAACTGTTTAGTGGTGGAATTAAGGAAACAGGTGGTGCTGTAGAGGTGCTGGCCTGTTTAACACGGCAGCTCACCAAGATAAGAGGACAACAAATGATCTCTTGCAGGTGGAGAAAGAAAAGGCCTCTGTGTCCCAGAACATCACAGACAGCACACGAGCATAAAAACCCCTCACACTAGATATTGGTAACATGTATGATGACTCTGCTTTCTGCCAGCTCACTCTGATATTATTACTGAAACGTTTTTCACAAAGTATACAGGCAAAGCTTGATTATTGAAGAATTGTGTCAATTTGTACAAATTATTTTCCAGTTTAAGGCGCCTGCATTAGGCCTGATTTAGCAGCTATCACACAGACGCTTTGTTTCATATGTAATTAAGATACAAAAGACGCCCACATTGTATAGAGACAGTAGTAAACACATGTAAAGCACATGTAGGTATTTGGTCCTGTTTGTTACCAGGATATTTCAAAAACAACATAACAGACTAATGGCATTTATTGGATAGTTGGGCCATGAACAAGGGAACAAGTGATGTTTGATGGGATAGCACCACCATGTGGTCATTTATCAAGCACTTCATATTTTGGCTGATACTCCTAAAACACGAGGTCTAAAATCAAACTGGATTTCTTGGTAAATAATGAATCTGCCCAGACACAGTGTTAATGTTGTATAGCATCTTTCAAACTATACTGATGGCTTAAGTTTTTGTGCAGCACTTTATTTACATTAAGACAATATATTTTTGTATTACAAGTTTCCTGAAATGATTTGTTTATAGTATATGCAAATGAGGTATTCTCTTATTAAATATGTGCTAATTTAATACATTTCCAGAATAGAAATCTGAACCAGATTAAAAAGGGGAGTTTTGTATATTTGTATCACTACATGAATCTGAAAATACTGTCAACATGTCAAGCTTTGACACATGCATTTGAGGACAAATACTGAGGTCATAGAACCAGCAGATCAAATATTTCTAAAGTATAAAGTTATTACACTACTTAATTTTGCTTTTCATGTGTGCAGTGTCTCTGCGTAGCCGACACTGAAACAATCAAATGGCATTAACAAAGAAGCTGCAATAACAATGATTAGTACTACTTGATAATAAATGACAAAAGAGTCTGAAATAGAGTTTTTAGATGGGAAGGAGCTGATTGGCTCACCTGAAATTCACGTTACCATGATGCCAATGGGCAGCAGACACAGAAAACCTCTGTCATTTGTTCAAAGTTCAGCATTTTGAAGAGTAAAAGTATGTTTTATATATCATTACTATTGTTAGTATTGTAACACAGACCCGTGTTGTGAGCGGAAACATGTGCACCCTGCTGCAGACTGACGTATTGAACATGCTATTTAAGTATGGGTTAGCACCCCTGATGTGAATATGTTTGATAATGATTTTTATGCGGTGGAGAGTCATGATGTTGAAGCACTATACACAGACCAGAGAATAATCCTGTGAAAATGTATTTATGTAGAAAAGTTAAAAGTGCAAACAGTAAATAAACTTTAAGCATTCTATGGGATATTAGTGGCATTACTGTCATGACAACAGAGCCAGCTATAAAGTCAAAGTTCAAGATAAATCAATTATTTTTATAGTCAGTCTCATCACACGTCTCAACACTACAGGCAGAAACATTCACATAAATAGTTTATGAAGCTTTTATTTAAATAAATAAATAGATTCATGACATACAAATAATTTAGTGTTTGTGCCCATTGGCAGTTTATTCACGTTCAATTATGGGAAAGTGTCAGAAATATGACTTTATAGCAGTTACATTATGTTCATTATTTATAATATTAGCTCTCCTTAAATTGATCGCTGGAGCAAACACGTTTGGAAACGCGCAACTTTTACTTTAAATGCGAGCTGTCTCTGTTTACTGCTCTCGACTCCCTTTACTCAATGTTCATTATTAAAGTCGGATAATGGAACATCTGACGTTTCGGTGCGCTGAATTGCATCGCACATTGAATTACATCGCACATGTTCATTTAATGCGACAATAACACAGACAAAGCGCAACCGCGTTTAGGCAGCATCGGCTATCGAACAACGAACTCACACACAGCAGATACATTAACACAAGTAGACCAATGACATTAGGTAATACACATGAACTGACATTGTTCATTAGACAACGTGAACAATAGAAAACAAATTATACTTCGTGCACGGACCATCATCATGTTGCCCCCCCATAAAAGGGTCTGTTATATTATCTATATGTTAAAGGTGTTATAACTGTTTTGTTCCCGGACAAAAATAAATTCAGAATTGAATGGAAATCACAGCAATGGAGGATTAAAATGTATTTATTGCTGAAACAACAACAGACTAATGAGCTAACTATTAACACTGCTTTAAAAAAAGCATGTGGGTAATTAATAATAATAAGGATGTAACAATTACAATAAACTATGAACCCTGCCATAAAGGAAAAAAATGAAATGGCTGACTTTCTGTGACTATGAGCCAACCAGGAAGAATAAGTGACAATATGTTTTTTTATGGTCCATTTAGCAACAACATGTAACAACCACCGCATATCAAATGACTTTATCCAGAAGATGGATAAGAAGTAAATCTAAATCCAAGAATGGCAATGATGTTACACCTGAGTTGGTGCATGTTACTTTTGACATCATGCTGGTGTTGCAGCGAATATATCTGTAATTGCAGGCTGTTGGGCTGACGGCGGCCGGTTAAAACATTTTTTAACACATCGACTGGACCTGGTGTTGGACTTGACCTGAAATAGTTTAAGTTGGTCTTGACACACACCCCTGCGTAGAAGTCATCTACTGCTTGAAATGAGGGCTGGACCAGAAATAGCAGCAGTGATGTTTGGAACCCAAACATACCAAACTCTCTGGAACGCAGCCTCAGGTGCACACGTCAATAATTACTATCACGCTATCACGATGTAAATGAACAAGATGCAAAAACTACATTGAGCAGCTACAAACCTGGTGCTCAGTTTAACCAGGAAGTAGCTCATTTTATAGTGCTTTTTTAAATCTTCACAATCACATATCCTTTTGTTAATGTCCATGTCCTGAGCTTGAATGCTAAATAAGCTCTTAAAGTCATCTTTAAGTGCGCTGGTGGTACATTAACAGTCTTGGTTAAAAGATGGCGTCAGCAGTCGGTCTGTAGAGCCTCGGCCATCCAATCAGATCGGGCCACCAGTAACCTCAGTCTGTCACCCGATGACTGGATCAGCTCCTTTCCACTAACAGAGGTGGAAGAGACAGTGGAAAAAAAATCTGTTATTCAACTTTGATATTTAAATGTTTGAGTTTGCTCAGATTTGAATCCTCCTCACCTCTGGCAGTCCAGTCCGAGCAGACTGACTCCATTAACGGCCAGGATCCTGTCTCCTGGTACCAGCCTTGCACACCGGGCTGCAGGGGAGTCGGGGACCACCGTGCGGACGAAGATGCCTTTCACCCTCGTGGAAGTGTCCTAGAAGGTGAGGTCAACATGTCATGGCACGCTGCAACTTATTTTAATCCCACATTAAAAAGTACAAATTCTCTTTCGGAAGCTGACTCATGATATCAGTGTTCCCACCATCAAAGTAGCTTGAAACCAAACCGCTGAATGTATTGTAGGAAAAACATAACCACAGACTGTCCTTAAATAAACTGCCAATGAGAACAGATCTACATTCGATGGTAAAAGTGTCTGCAATGTGCAGTATGCTTTTAGATAGCAACTAAATCTGAAACTGGTAACTTGCTTTAGTTTATTGTCATTTTATGTGATCTGCATGGTTGTGATTCGCTGAGACTGTAAACAGCTACTGTGGTTGAACTCACAGTCACTGCACCACTATTCGGTCTCTTACAGCAATGCTAACGCGCTTATGTTTAGCAGTTGTACCAGGTACCATGTTCACGATCTTTGTTTAGCATGCTAAGATTTGGCTACTTTGCAGAGGCGTAGGTTTCATTTGAACTCATACAAAATGCAGGCTCTGTGCTGAGTTTTTCTGCATCGATTAAGCGTGGAAAAGTCTCCATTCGTGTAAAGGAAAACACAAAATATATAGATGATAATGCAAATTGTGGCCCATGTGAAACCATTTTACGGGATTTTTGTTACATAACGCATCTAATAACGCCTCGTAACAAGCATACATATGTGTTAGTTGAACCCAAACCATGATCTTTTCCTAAAGCTAAACAAGTAAACATAAAAAACTAAGTAAACCTGCATTGGGAGTTTATTTTGAAAGGATATTATGTATGTTACGGGTGGAAACTGACCAAACGTGTTAGGGACGGTTGCCATGAACTCGTAAGTCAAGTGAAAAGTAGGGTCATTTTCCTCATAGACTTCCACAAAATTGGACTTTTGCTACCAGAGGAGTCGTCAAGTTTAAGACCCTTAAACATTAGTTTTACTCTCCAGAGCCGGAGGTTGCCGTCTGGTTGCCAGTAGGAATTTCTTAGACTTAGCGGGATGAACTTCACAGTTTGACAAAAGTCCCTGAGGGAGTTAAGGGGTCGCGGTGAGCTCAGACTTGTCTTTAGTAACAGCAGGACAGAGGTAGAACTATGAACTATGAACTATGAACTACAACACTCACCCTTGTGTCAACCAGGGCAAGACCAAGTCCTCGTTCACCTCGCTCCAACTCCAAGCTAAAAACCTCATCATTACTGTCATCGACATGGTCAACCGCCTCTCCCTCCTCCTCCTCCTCCTCCTCTTCTTCCTCCTCCTCCTCCTCTTCTTCCTCTTCCTCTTTTAAGTCGACAAACCTCTTCACACTGGGGCAGTCTGACTTCAAACGGTCTACTTCCAGTGCAGCGAGACATTCAAACACTAATCCGCCTATGGAGAAAAGAAAAGGACACGCTCAGTTTTATTTTACCGCAGACAAACACGAACGGTGATGTAGCCCTGTTCCGTACCTTCATCACGTGCGTCCACACTAGAAGACCAGGGAAGCGTCTCACCGTCACCCTTCATCCATTTATCAACAGGATCTATGAGGTGGGGGGTGTTGGGCGGGGTGAGGAGACAGGAAGGGTCCAGAGCCGACCTCCTCGCGTCGCCAGGCTCTCCGGTCTGCAGCTCCAGATCTCTTAGCTTCCGGGACAAAAGGAGGACACCGCACGAGGTGAGCTCGTCCGGGTGTTGGGTGGAGGAGGGAGAGGCAGGCGATGAGGTTGATGGAGGTAAGGCACCAAAGGTAGTGGAAGGGGACTGGCGGTCACGGACAGCAGCCTGGGATGAGACCATCTCAACGGGCGATGTGTTTGAAAGGACTTCCGTCTCAGTCAGTTTAGCCTCCATGGGACAACATATAGACCAGTCAGGATCAATTAGAAAAGCATATTTGACATGAAGGCAAACACTACCAATTTTACACATCATAGTGTGTTTATAGAGCTTGAGCAGTACTAGTGTGAAAATGAATTATACTAAGCCTTTTCTGTCTCCAGAGGGAGCTGTGTGTCTGATAAATTCCCTCAAGCGTTGCCACTTGACTTTACATACGTTGGCATCAGGCGACTCTTTACCAATATGCTAACTTTGCCACGTCGGCCAAGTGAAAATCTTACATGAATTATATTTCCCAACTGCTGTCAGTATTATTACCTCCTCAGTAGCTGTGACCTCATTGGACCGCGAGTCAGAAAGGGCCGCCATGAACTCTTTGAGCTTGTCCAGCTGTTCCCTCAGGGCTGCATCTGTTACCTGCCTGCCCAGTAGGAACTGGTAACCCTCGTCCGGCAGCACCAGAGGATGGTGGGTGTCGAAACTCTCCAGGATATCGGCTGAGGAAAGAAAGGGGTCGCAACTTGAGGATTATCATCTTCACGATTGGTATTGGTGTGAAAGAAAGTAAGGTACAGGGAGGAGAGTTGACCAGGATGTGGACCTCTCACCAGTTTCGTGTGCTGCGGCCCGGTCGTGAACAGATGGAGTCCAGGTGTGTCTGCAGGGAGATGCTGGGCTGTAAAGACTCAGCAGGTGGTTCAGCTGGGCCGGACTCAGGGCAGGGTAGTCAGACCGCAAGGACACCCAAGATGTCTACACACACACACACACACACACACACACACACACACGTTGTAGTTAGAATGTCATGGGGAAGCTGAATTACCTTGCCGCTTTATTTTTTATTTCTTTATTCTGATTCTTCTTTATCAGCTGGCCACAGTCCTGTCCCACCTGAAGTCAATGGGAATTGTGCATGCAGACTTTAAACCTTTTTATAAATATTTGTTTTATTCAGGACAACTCTTTTTATATAAATAACTGCATATAATGTTAAACAGAAATACTCAAAGATTTGAAACCGATATCCTTTTTCGCCTACTCTGCAGAAATCACACCACCAAATCCTCAGTCTGTTATGTCTCTGGTGATTATTTATAGTTGGATAAACCCAACTCGGCTGAACATGTACTGTGTATGTGTATGTGTGTGATCTGTACCAGCAGTAAATTCTTTCTAGGTGTGGCCAGCAGATTGATAGCTGACGAGAGTGTGTGTGTGTGTTCTGAGGCCATGTCTCCCAGTCCGGCTGCGTGAGCCCAGTCCAGGAGCAGGTCGAGATTGGCCCGCATGCGTACGCCTCTGGTCCACTGGTAGAAACCTGGCTCGGATCCTGTGTACACATCGGGGGAGAAAGTCATCTTTGAAATCACTTCTTCGTTCATTTACTTGGGTTTCTCAGCTTTAAAGGTCTAGAGCAGAAATCTGCCACCTGCCTTTTTTCATGAAATTTAGGTAATGCAGATTGGACAGGTTCTCAGGTATCAGTAATATTAACAACTGCCAAAGCAAAACAATAATCCAAGCAAAAATGAAAGGATTAGTCTGGTATTCAATATTATTCTTGCCGTCAATGAATCTCTTGAAAAATGAATCTATACTATCAAAACTAACAAGGAATGTGTGTGTAACCAAAGTATGTGTACATTTACTACCATGAACAGGCAATATTGTTAATTATGTGTCAGTCCCACATACACTGTTTTAGTGCACCAGATGTGTATTATTCCACGGCTGAAAGTAGTCCCCAACAAGTGCACTATTTCCTCCTGTTTGAGTTACGTTTGGTTAAAAACTACAAAGACTTATGTCTCCAGCAGGCTGAGTGTTACAGTGCTACATCTATATATCCATCCATCCACGCATCTATCGGTCTACTTTGATATATTCTAAATTACGTTCCCATACAACAGAACCAAATTCTCAATTACATTTCGAGGGAGCGTATTTTCCCCTGGATTACATTTGTATTTGACATATCATGAATGTATTTCATCAAAGTCCACAAAAGGCGACAATAGGGGGGAGTTTGTAGTGAATGGACTGGTCAAACTTTCACCCAGGTGGTGTTTGTGTCCTCTGTGAAACCAAAAGTAATGTACTTATTTTAAGCAAAAACGTCATCTTTTACTAAACTTAACCAAGTAGTTTTGTTGCCTAATTGGTTCAGAAATGTTATTCTGTCAACGCCATTGAACCTACCGCAAAAGATATGTCACAAAGAATTATCGGCCAGAGAAAGTGCGTATGTGAGTGAGTTTAGGAGTCTCTACTCTCCAGGGATTCTAAGCCTGCATGCTCCTGTGTGCCGAGCTAATACGATCTATGTGGACACTCGTGCACTGGTACCTCTCTCCATGAGCGAGTTGAAGAGTGACGCGTTGATGAAGTAGAAGAGGTAGCCAATGAGCTGCAAGGAAATCTCCGGATGGAGCTGACAGTCACGCAGCAGTCTCCAGGTCTCTGTCAGAACATCCGCGAGATGCTGGATCTCACCTGGGACCTGCAGTCCACAGCTCTCACCACTCTCGGCGGTCGCCTGCAGGTCAGGACTCTCCCTGAACGGGTTGCAATCCAGAAGGGCCGGCAGGACGGGGTAGAGGACCTGATGAGACAGAATCGGTTGAATAAAGGGAACTGTGCAGCTCAGTATGAGACTGACTCTCCATGTGGAATCGGAGAGTGTTGACAATTCCTGCGGGTCCATTTGAGGTTGGAAAAGTTAACGTTGTGTGGTGGAGGTTCTGATCACTGGGATAAACTAAAACATGAAACCATCCTAACCCAGATTTCAGACCACCCATATCGTCTGTCTCTCTGTTTCTCGCAGTACCACCGAGATGATACAAGAGAAAAGGAATGAGAGAGACAGTTCGGAACATTTCCTCCTTTTTCTTGAGAGCAAGCCTGAACAACGATAGCTTTGTTCGGGCTAATTGTACACAGACATCCCCCTTCCCCTCCAATCTCACTCTTACATCCACCGCGCTTCCGAAGCCAGAGGCCGCCGTAGATCCACATTCCTAAAAAAAGCTGAATATGGCTCATGTGGGCTTGGCATGCCGCTGCAACAGGACTGCTGAGTGAAGAGTTCTGAAGGAATCCACCCTGAGCAGATCGGTTTACATCTACTGTAAGGCCCCTGCGAGCCAGAGCAGGCCAAACATGAAGAGCAGAACACGACAGCCACGGCTCCCGTCACACATGTGACAATGGAAAAAGGGCGACTTATTAAGCCGAATCATTTTGCAGTGTTTCTGGTTGGAAAATGTCACTCAGCGGAGCCAAGCCAGAGGAGATTCATTCATTCAGGGATCACCACATGCATCCATGGCACGCATTGTTCGGGAGTCCAAAAATAACTAACAAAGTGAGCATGCTGTGTTGTCTGCTTGTTTGTGCATTCATTGTGATGGACAAGCAAACACACAGTCTGCCCACAGGCCTGTTAAAGCGGGCTCTGTATTCACTGTGACGCGTCTTCAGTTGGAATAGCTGCTCACCAGTGGCGCCTCTTGTTTTCCACCCCGCAGCAATTACCCCTCGTAGCGGATGGACAGGCATGAAACCCCCCAAAGTAAACAGAGATTTCAGAAAGTGTCGCCACGCAGCACAGCAGCACAGCAGCGTCACCGTCCGTGTTCCCATTTGGAGCGAACAAACTACAGTATAGTTTGGTAAGACGTTGGCTGTAATCCACCAGTAAACAGAGTGGAAGAAGGGGTAGCGGTTGCGAACTGGAAACAAAACAAGTCACCTTGACCATTTAGAGATCTATGAGTGAAAAATGGAGAAGGGTCTTCAGGAATTTGTTTCAATTGGGCAAGTTTTAGTTGTTCTTTCACGTCAGCTACTATTGGACTGTTTCAGACAAGCGTTCACACGTTATCGGAATATCAGAGAAGACGCCTACAGCAGAAACAGCTGATCAGTCATGTCATTTAAATGTTTGCTTTGTCAGAACTTATTCTGTAAAAGTGTTTCCATATCCCATTCAGCCCATCAAAATTTTTTTGCACAATTGAGTAGGCTTTATTTCTTCAAAATGCACATTCAAATGTGTGAATGGAAACGAGGCTACTTTCTGTCTTGTTGGATGGGAGGTTAAAGAAAAGATGATGTTCAGCTCAGCCTTCTCTTGTTTGCCTTGTTTTCACCGTGGAACATTAAAATGTGCCCTGCACAAACTCAACCCTGGGTCACACACCGACATAAATCACTATGTCAACTCGCTGCACTAGTGAAGGGGAAAGGATACATTCTAGAGTAAATCATTAGGGCCTTAGCCAGATTACTCCTCAGTTTGACACCGGTGACTTCACCACATTCCTCACAAAATCTGGCCTGTCAGTCCAGGAAGAGATGTGGACAGGAGCCCACTGTGAAGTGACAGTCATGATGGATGACACGACACACCCGGATTAACTGGCGAGGACAAGAAAAACTGAGACCATGTGCAAATCTGAAAACTGCTGTTTTTACCCGTGAGAGAGTTGTGCTCGCACCACAACAGCATTTTTGTAGAGATCTCCATCCGCTCTGAAGTGACACACTGAATTCGTCCTCCTTTCTATTTAGTTATTCTTAATGCTTGTCATCGGTGTCACAGGGTCGGATTCCGCAAAGTTTTCGGACAAAATCATGCAGGTTCACCAGAAACTCCTTCAACTCAGCCTCCAGCAGCGAGCAGGCCACCGCCTTTAACCTGCAGTCTGAGCGGGAGGAGAAGAGCTCCGCGCCCCGGCAGCGACGGCTCCTCCCCCGACCAGGAGCAGAGCTTCGCCTCGCTGCTCCTCCGGGCCCCGCTAGGAACCAACACCGTCACCACGCAGCTGGGCCCGCTGGAGGGAAGGGAGGCACGGGAGAACCAGAACCAGGACTGCACAGAGTAGACTGTCAGACCCCGCTGCAGTGAAATGAGAGGTTTTCTGAAAGGGACTCTGGTGCTCGGAAAACACTACCGCGTTTGTCCACAGGGGGCCACCAAAATCAATGCAAAGTGAAAGTTCCTTGTAGTAGCTTTAACATTACCTGCTGAGTCCAAAAAATGTGCAAACGTAAAACCACACATCTGAACACCCAAATATTTATTTTTTGTTGTTGAGCTATTTCATGCAAAATTGACTCTCAAATTATCGTATGTACAATAAACAAAGAAACTGAGACTCACACTCCACTTCTTCCAAAACTCACTGCTCACACTGTCTGTTTCTAACTGAATACTTTTGAATCTCCCAATCTTAATAGCCAGAGGAAGAATAGCAGTTCTCTAATGATCTTTGGCTTCTAGATAAACGAGATACAACATGTGAATCAGGGCCAAACTCTTGTTTGCTGTAACATGCATGCGCGTCCTTAATTTTGATTTTGACAAGGCAATCAAACCATTTTCCGGCAAACTTAAATAAAAGCTTACGTTTAATACAGTTAATATTACAAGACAAATTTTCTTGTACCCAACCTCCTTTGCAAACGTTTTCAGTTGTCAGGACAGGGGAACTCTGACGTCAAATGTAAATTACATCCCGCAAGTTCAAACTTCATGAGCATAGTGTGTTATATTTTATAGATTATTTCTAGATTTACTGACAAACCCCATCTGGAAGTCATTTGGTTCATCAGGCAGAATTGCTGAGAGAAATACGTCTGGGGCAGGTAGTTAGATAACCACATCCTCCTGCACTGAGCAAAAAAAAAATGTGCTGCCTAAAATCTTGCAGCACAGCAACTATTCAGGAATTCCTTTAGTCTTCTCTTCAGAGATATAATGTCATATCACTGACGTCCTTCCTGCGTGGGAAACTGATACAGAAGATGCATCCAGCTCATTGAAGGGTCTGCGCGGGAGAGAATCTGTGTGCTCATGCAGCTCAGCTGTCAGTTATGATACCTAGTTCAGCTACTGACTGAGGAGGAGTACTGTAAATAGGCCAGTCTCATCATTAGTATTTTTTTGGATGGTGTTTTTTTACACACGACCACAAGGCTCAAATGGAAATTTGCCTGAAACTTTCCCGGCAAGCTTCCATGTAATGTAATGGGTGTGGTGCTTCAAAACTGCACACAACTGAATTGGGACTCCAATGAAATTCTGTTATTTTCCAAGTAACGTAAAGAGCTCGATACAAACTTTACACAATCAGATTGTGTTTAAAGCTGTGGCATCAGTAAGCCTGTGAGCCTCTCCTTAGAGCCTAAATTATTTTTCTTCTTCGAGGGGGTGATGAGATAAATGCAAAAAATAATGGATGGACGTGTTTAGGAGAGTTTTGATCTAAATCCTTTATTCATCACTTCCCAATAAAGCAGGGGTATAGGCAGTTTTATTTGGCATCATTGGGCAAAAATGTTATAATAACATTTTCGGACATATCGTAATTCAAGTGCTCTGAGAGAAAACTAGACTTCTGCACATCCTCTTGGCTCTGTTTCCAGGCTTTAGAAAAATTAGCCTGCGATAGAGAGACTTAGATGTTGAAAGCCTGATTCAACGGTGGAATATACTGTATATCCTGCAGGAAAAGCTGCTATTCAAGCATTGGCAACAACTGCCTAGCAAAGCAACCCTAAAAACAGGAAGACAGACTTGTTAAAAAGATACTGTTGGACAATAGACTTTTATAGAATCAGACTTATTTTTGCAACTGGAGGAGTCGCTCCCTGCTGGTCAGTAGAGAGAATGCAAGTTTTTAGACACTTCTGCATTGGCTTCACTAGGCAGAACGAGAGGTTGCTGCCGGCTTGGGACAGAGAGGGGAATTCTGCGGGAGGAGGGCTCGATTTAAAAACATGGCCACTTGATTCTGCTGAAAAGTTTTTGCCATTTTGGTCATAAAAAAACCCGCCGACGCCAGCTTTTGACCAAGGAAAATAAAAACAAATCAGCAAATATTGTACAAAAATAAAAGCAGCATTAATGATCACCTTTGGCCACTAGGGAGCAGTGGAACAACTTGCACACGCAATGTTGACATGTTAGTTGTTATCGCTAACGTGTTAGCAATCGATTCTCTAATGACACATCGAGCAGGCATAGTAACATTAACGTTCTTTTTGATTTGGACTTATTGGACTTATCAATTACTTATTACTTACTTATTGGACTTACCAATAATTCCAATATTCACTCTTCTTTTTTAGCTCCCTGTTGTTCTCCACTAACATAAATATTTGTTTCCCTCGCTGCTAAATGCTCTGCTTTGTGCACCAGCCAATCGCTGACTTTGTGTGTCTGCCCTTTGCTGTGAGTTTAGCTCCGCAGAGCTGCAGATTGGAGTGATCATTCTCTAACGGTAGTTATGACCCGGCTCACGTCATAAGTAATCATTGGATCCACAAGTAAAATGAAAATACAAATGAGTGGCAGCTTTAAGATTTTGCCCTGTGCAGCTTTTATTTGCCGAGGAGCAACTGTTCCTGCTTACTTGTGTCTTTCAGCATTTCACACGGGGAACGCATGTCTTTGTCTCTCAGCCTTTTTATAAGGTTGAACATGTCCTGTGATGAAATATCATAGGTTGCAATGTAAAGCTTCCTTGGCAGCGCTTGGAGATCCCTGGCTTGGTTCCTTCATCCTCCCCTAACACACACACACACACACACACACACACACACACACACACACATACACACACACACACACACACACACACACACACACACACACACACAAAGGGCCCTTGGTGTCCTGTCTCTCTCCCATGTCAGAATGCCACAAGTGTGGTCTGGCAGGGTGGCTGGTTGGTCTATTAGTGAGCTGTCAGAGTGGCTATATGGGCTCTTTATTCCCAGCCCGTCTTTGATTATTTTCCTTTCCCTTTAACGACAGATCATAATCATCAACGGACGGAGTCGCCACACAAGCCGGCACTGACTCCTCTCCTTTGGCCAAGACAAGTTCCTTGTCAACGAATGTATAAGGTAGATGGTTAACTTTCCCATTCAAGACACTGGAGTACTATTTAAGTACATAAATGGTGCATCTATTTATATTCTGTGCATGCTTCAGCTATGTGCTTGGTCATCCTCTCACCTTGGTAATGTAGTACACACACTGCTGGAAGGCGAGCATGAGGACCTCCTCCAAAACAGCCATCGTCTCCTCGCTGGCTGTACGGACACTGGACAGACGTAGTGCCACCAGGGCTGGAAATCACACGCATTAATAAATGACACAGTTGTAGCTCAGAGGTCCAGTGACATATTGAATGTGTGTTTTAGTTTCACATGGGCAACTTTAAACCCTTTGTCAGTGAGATAGAAAAATAAACGTTGGACTTTTTTCCACCAAGAAATATTCAAATGTGTCACCACTGAAGGTGAAGAAATGAAGGAAGTGTTCCAGTGAGTAGACAGACTGACAAGTAGAAATATGTTTTTGTATTTATTTCTTAACTTTCATCCTGCTCAATCTTGCAGGGAGACGTTTGCGTCCAACACATAAACCATATTTGATTTGGTAACATTTCGCTTAGGAAATAGGACCCTATAGTGCAGCTTTGATTCTTCACATGGTCACATGTTCATTGTATCAAATTCCTAGCTCAATAGGTGACTAACCCAAGTTCTCCACCTCCTTGCTCTCATCATCGTCCGTTCCTTTTTCATCATCTTCCTGTCCCTGCTCTTTTCGGGTCCTCCACTCCAGAATAAGAGGCAGCTGGCACTGGATGAACTGCAGAAGCTCCAGACTGTTGGACATCCACACCGCCAGGGGGCGCAGACCTGAGATCGCCTCGGGCCGCCCGAGAGCCTGGAGATCCTCCGGGTTTGAGCCTTCACCGCTGAGACTGAAATACAGAGAGGGAGATCTGCAGTGTTAGTCTGTGAACTGTGACGCGAGTGATTGCTGAAGAAATACAGTAAGGTGCGCTTACTCTTCAGGCTGAACTGCAGCTAGGTCCTTAGTGTGCTCCTGTGTGACAACAAAAAAAAGTAAATGTAAATGTAATATCATAGTAATAACCTTCATTCATACAAAATTGCAGATGGCAATAAAGTAAGAAAGAAAATCCATAAAATACGAATACAAAATCTAGTAAACCACAGGGGAGGTGCTAAATTCCAAATTCGGTATATATCTATGATGAGGGATTGCCTCCTAACGGCTCTCAGCGTGGTGACGCCTGAGCTGTCAGCTAGCGACTAACAGCGGTAACAGTGCAAACAAGTGCAACAGTGCTGACAGAGCTAATAGTGCTAACCTGAGAGGCAACACGGAGATGGGCGTTGCACTTCCCTGGCAATGTCTCAGGTCGGTGAAAAAACAAAACTGACTGAATCAATATTAAAACGTGATTTGTCCCGTATTGTCGTGTACATACCTTTCAGTATAAGGATGGGTCCTCCTTATTTAGACAACAATGATTATATATGTATTTTTTTTAAATCCAAATTACTGCTGGGGACCTTGATATCCCAACCAGCCGATCGCCCATAACATCTTTTTTCCCCACAACTCACCCACACAGCCCTCTGAACTCTGCTCGCAATGAGCAACAGCAGCCGGCGCAGGTCTGAGGTGTGAAGACATGTGGACGAATACTGCAGGCAAAGACACAGCAAAAATGCAACGGTCAGCGGAGGTCCGTCTTTGACGCTGGTCCTTCCCATAGCAACTATCTCCTTGACAATGCGCTCCTCATCCTCGCTCTCATACTCCAGAGTCGGGCTGTGGCGTTCGGGTGATTTTGAAAAGGGAAGGCGTGTGTTTTGAGGGCTCTGGAGGTCGACGGAGGTTGTGATGCAGGTGTCACAGAGGACTGTTTTTCTGGTATGGCTCGTTGTGCTGGCAGAGGAAGTGTGACCCAGCATCCAGGGGACAGCAGTCATGCCGGGCTCAGGAGTGGCATTGTCCTCTTCCTTCGTTTCCAAGACAGAAACAAGAATAATGAAGCATGATTTATCGTTTTATATGTTCTCGCTTAAGGAACTTGGCAAAAAGAAGATCTTAATAGAGAGAAAATAAAACAGTTAATATTTTGCACATGTTACAATCTGCCTGTCCCTTCTGTGTCCCCCTCTCACCTTTTGTGCCGAGGCGGAGGGATCCTTGAACAGAAACAGGTAGTGCAGTCCCATCCCGATGACGTCACCGGGGTCAAGCTGCACTTCTTTTCTCAGCGCTTCGCCATTCCTCGTGACCGCGCCGTTCGGACAGGGCCAGAGCACAGTGGGGCCGCCGACGCCATGCCGATGGAAATGGCAGTGCCTCGGGAGGATGTCGGTGGCAAAGAGAAGGGTGTCCGCCTTTGTGCCGTCGTCATGATCGCTTTGCCGACCAAATGCAATGTTTGGCCCAGCGAGTAGGTAGATGACAAAGTCCTGAGGGCGGAGAAAAATGACAAATTACCACACAATCTGCAACAATTGCGTTGATCTTCTCCATTCTTTTGTTTTTTGTCTCAAACTCATTACAGCACTGTTTATTCAAATTTTAATCTTCTATCGATATGTTCCTGCAGGTGCTGTTCTGTTCTTCTATGTTTGATCAGATGTGCTTATACTAACTAGCTAGCTCACTCTTTCTTTATGGCGACTACAGTTTGTATGGCTGTGTTAGCAAACAGTTTCCTTTTTCCCACACTCAGTGGACATGGAGCGACATCGGCATTCATTTGACGTCATGTTTCTGGCCACCGGACAAATCCAAGTCCAATATTCACTCTCCTTTTAGCTCTGCTCTGTCAGCGTTACATCCGCCACCGGTAACGTGACAACAGTCTCTCTCAACACCAGCAGTCTGACCATGCGGAGGTATTAGAATACTTGATCCAAGCCTGATTAGACACACAGTCTTTCATTGATCACAGATTAATAAACGAGCACAATTCGCAGGGTTTGACATTCCTCTTGTGATGCCTGTCTTTTTCAACGGGACAGATTTAACCAGCTGAATTAATTCACAAATAAACTCCCTAAACCTTGTTCACAATAGTGTTTCTCAATGGTAGATGATTATATTCTTACGACGGGTCTTTTGGGAAAACAACTGTTACGCAGAGCCTCTGCGTGCCTGCATGTGTGTGGCAGTTGCTCGCCGTTAACACCATGTGTAATCAGCCAGGAAGCAGTGCCAGGGTTGTCTTTTTCTGTTTCCTGATCAGTGTTTTGACACCTTTTTTCTACGTGCTGTTTGCTGACCTTTCCTATAATGATTCTCTGTCTGTCTCTCTCTCTTTATCCTGAGAAAACATGCTGTTGGACCACTTTACAGTGAGTAAAGGGCATATTGCAGTAGTTACTCCACTGATCAATTTAAATGTAATACAGTACACATGTCAACATGTTAGCAGTAAACCCTTTAGTTACTGTAGCAAGCCTGTCAAGCATATGCAGTTTACAATAACAGGGGCAGATTCTGAGCAATTTCTGAAACATTTCAGTAAAGGGTCTTTTAGGATGAAGGCTATCTGATGTGTTTGGCAAAAAACGCGATCTCAGCAATTGTTGGCTGGGGTTGCTAAAGTGTGAACTTCCCAAATCTGATAAAGAGCAGAAGCTGTTAATGTTCCAGGACCAGCTTTCACACAGTGGGAAAATACTACACATTCAAAATGCTGTTCTTGCTAGTCCTGAATGGGGATTTTTTTTAACATAACCTGTAACCATTCAATTTAATCTGTAATTGGTTAATAATGTGCTCCGTGGCCTTGGAAGTGATGCTGGGTTACAGGTAAGGTAGTTAGCCAAACATTCTAACAATTGTAGCTTACATTGGAGCAGATAAATACATTCCTTACTACAGCTTTTGCTCTTGTATTTTTGGTTTTAAAAAGGCTTAAAAAAAGTACACCACCCCTCCAAACTCTTTAAATTCCACAATTCCCTTTCTGGGGAGGGATTTTAACAGTCAATAGAAAATGGGAATGACAGAGCATTCTGGGGTGGCGCCACCATCTTTGGAGGATAGCTTATGTAGCTACAGTATCTGTCAGAGAGAGGTGACGAGATGACGTATTTTTTTGTAAACCAACCCTTGAAGTTAGCAACGCATTGGTTCCCTCGACAAAAGGTGTACTGACAACTTTTTTGTTAACCACAGACCTTATTTCAGGCATCTAACCAAAATCCCATTAAAAGAAAAAAGCATTGATTTTGTGGCAACTGGAAGAGCAACAATTATGACTCACTTTTGGGTTTTAGGCCTCATTTCTGCAGTACTATGTGTCATTATCTGTCAATCATCAGAAAGGAGACATAGAATGGTCAAAGGACCTTGAAAGCTTGCCACCCGTTAATGTTACAGTCGCTGATGTTGGCGCCTACACCTAGCCTGCAATGCAAAAAACTGGACCAATGATTTAACCGGGGGTTTCATGCCAATCCGAAGCCATAGAAGAGCTCAAAACTGTGAGCTGCGGGACTTTTACTGCCAAAACCAAGGGACGACCAAAATAGCTCCTCCAACCCCCCCAACACTGTTGTGTGTCTGAATGAGATACCTGTGCCGGGCTGCAGCCCTGCAGCAACAGCAGGTACGGACAGTCGTGAGGAGGGTGAATGGAGTACTGTGTGGTGTTATCGTCGCTGCTCTCCGTCTCCTCCCTCTCCGACTCCTCTCCTTCCCGCTCGCCCCTCGGCCTCGGTGGACAGAGGCCCTCTGTTTTGGGCTGCGACCCACCGTCCCTGCCGGGGACTGCCGGGCCGTGAATGCGGTTCTGTTCCGGGCTCCTTCCCAGGCCATCGGAGCTCTGCGCCGAAGTTTGATTCAGACTCTCGCTTCGATCCTTGCGACATTCATCATGATCACTGTCCTGTTTGGCCTCTGTGTCAGAATCTAAGAGGTCCATCTCACTTTTGCTCCTCCACAGTTTGTGGCCTCGTCCCGCGGTCCTCTCTATGAGGGTGGAGGTCACTCTGGAGCGGCTCTTCTGCAGCTTTCGAGCCTGGGCATTGATACCTAACGTGGAGATGAATGAACAAACAAAACCGTTGGGAATTTGATTGAACCCTGCAGTACAAATATGTGCAAATTGAGCTGCTATATAAATACGTTAAGCACATGAGTAATGGCATGTAGCGATAGGGCAACACACGTTTTTTTCCTCAAATAATAGGTGTGTGTGAGCCCATTTGTACGTCATGTGTAGGCCTACATGCCAGAGTCAACACGGAGAAGCCCCACACAGGAAACAGACCTCAGTGGAAAGAAAGACAGAGCTCATGGAAATAAAATAGAAAAGGTTCACCCACTCAGCAGGCATCCACAAGCTGACACTGATAGAGAGCTATCACAAGCTGCGCCATTCATAAAAGCAAAACACAAAACAGGACGCACTCGTACATCGCGGCCACAGCTGTGTCAACCACAGCCGGGGGCCCTGCGGTAGAAATGACAGTGAGTGGTTCACCGTGCACATTCACGCACAGTGTCATGGTGTCCAGCATGCTCCGCTGCATCATGCTTTGTAAATATCAGTGGATGAGATCATTTGCTGTGTAAAGCTTTATTTTTAAAGCTTTAATTTATGTTAAAACTGTAAAGTCTTAACGAAAGGGTGTGTCACCAAGTGTAATCGATTCGCACGGTGTCTGCTATCTTTATTGAATAAAAAGAAATGATTCTCTGTCGTTTTTTAATGGCAGCAAGAATGAAATCGAAGCCAAAATTTGCAACAAATTGAAACAAGGAAAACAAAAAAAGAAATCGTGAAGCTATTAAAATATGGTTTGGTCTGTGTGGCTTGGCTGATTTTTTACTGGAAAAACAACGTGCCAACAAACCACATTTTTACTGTGAGAACTCTAAAACTGGATTTAACACTGACAATACTTCATTTAATGGCACAAGCTGTTATTCCGGGACATGCCGACACCCTGAATGAGGATGCGGGTTCTGACATACCGGCAGTGACGGTGTCTTTGTCTTTGGATGTCTTCTCCTCTATCGAGCTCCTCCTCTGGATTTCGAACCGCCGCGCCAGGCCTTCTCTGGGTTTCCATAGCGACTGCAGGATGAGGGGCCTCTCGTTGTCGCTCACGACGCGGAACCCCTCCGTCCTCCACCGATGTTCTCCGGTGGAGCCAATGGTGTCGCACAGAACATAGGACTTTGCCTCCTCCTTGCCCAGTCCATACCTAGATGACAATGTCAAGACAGATATTATCATCAGGATGACAAAAGGAACGCAAGAAAATGAATTTAGCAATCCAATAGTGATTTTGGAAACTGGCTTCTTGCATTGTAAAGCGCATTTGAAAACAATGTCTATGCCTAAGATTTGAAAAGGTTTCAGTGCTCGCAGCATCTCATTCATACCCCCAAAGTGTCCAACCAAGTGATGATGGACTTGAAAGCATCATAGACTGAACCAATTTTCAGCAGTCTTTTCTAATTTTAGTACATACACAAACGGGTACTGCACAAGTATTCCCATATTATTTATTATTTTTGAAGCAGTTATGAGTACATAACAATTCAACACATGGGGGCCACAAAGAAAGACTCTGTAAAATGCACCCTTGCTCAATTCAATACACGTAGTCAACACAGTCTTGGTTGGTCTGACTCTGACCAGGAGCTAATGTTAGCTAATGTTAGCTAATGTTGCTGTGTGACTGACATTTGTGAGTTCATGACTCTTCTCCACTCGTGTTACATGCTCGCATTTAGCTTCATCCTGTAATTGTCACTGGTGGCCGCAGTTCAGTAAAAGTCACATAAAATTTGCTTTAAACCTGCATTAGTCTTTTTTTTGGTCACTAGGGGGCAACGCAACAAGCTGGACACACAACATTGACATATTACCACAAAGTTGATCCGCTGAAAGTATTAGCAAACAATTGCCTTTTTTTTTTACACACCAAGCAGACATGCACCACACGAATGTTCACTTTACTTTTAGCTCTAGCTTGGTCCTAACCAACTCCTGACAGCAAATGTCTGGCTCTTTAGCAGCTATGTACTCCACTAGAGTCGGGTGATAATCTGTGGGTTCGTCATTACAAGCGACTCCTTTCACAACAGACATTTGATCCATCATGAATCTAAAAGCATCAATTATAGCAACTTTAATTTAAAATACTTCAATGTACAAATATGCTGACTGATAGAGGGTTATTAGCCGTTTCCCTGAACTAATCCTCATCATATCCTAACCATGGATCATCCATTGGACCTGCATACAGCACAGAAATTAACTTATTAAAAGACGTAGTCTTGGCAGTGTGCTTAATGTATTTGCTAACCCATTACTGAATAAGAAATCAAGCAATGATAGAGCTAAATGTCACTGTAAAATTCTCACAGAGGGAAAGGAAAACTGATTTACTCTTTCCTCTACAGGCTGAATACCTCTCGTATTAATCATTCCATTATGTTTTTGGATGAAAAGTAAGCAGAGGCTGACAGACATTCACTCTCCGGAGAGACCGCCTTAAAAGCCTTGGCCCGACACTGGCTGTCTCTCACACAAATCTGTGGTTTGTTCAAGACCCTTTCAGAACTACTAAATAAACTATTTGGCACACGCACACACATGTGTGCACTGCACTGCAATTATAACAAACAGAACAGTGGGTTAGGTCAACTTTCATCTGAAATATACTAATCACAACAGCATGAACATGCCCTCCTTTCATCAACCGCCAACGTTTTGTGCATGGAGGACCGTTCTGACTGCTTTTTATATACAAATGACGTAGCGCAGAGGTATACTGCAGCAGAGGAAGCGCGTGGATGGACTTAATATAACTCACACAGGGACCCACATACAAAAGCAGACACATATGGTGGGCAGACGCATACACACACACGTACACAGATTACACATGGTCTCACCGTTCGAGGGCCTCTTTGACGAGCTCTTTGGCACTGGAGTGCGTGGTGGCCAGGACGCTCTTATAGTGAGCTCCCTCGCAGATCTCGTTTCCAAAGATCTTCAGGATCCCTGGAGCCGTTATCTGATTGGACAGCTCGGATGGGTCGTCCGCTCTTGAAGCATCTGCGGGGATCACTGCCAACGAGACGTGACAACAAAGGGAGGAAGTTTTGATGATGGGTCTCAGTTGTGGTTCCTTATTATTGATGGCAGATTTGCCATTTATCATAGACCCAATCATAACATACGCACTATGAGTAAACATACCTATCTATACGAGCAGGAAATTATATGTGTCAGTTGAGCTCCATTTCTCGTATGCAGCAATGCCATTCAAAATCACATCACAAAATCTAGCACTTTAAGTATGAATATTGACATTCGTATGTATTCTTTGTTTAGACTATGGTCTCAATTTCAGTGATTTAAGTCTCCCTTTTCCCTCAACACAATATGAAAAACAGTGACAATGACTGGCACTTGTCTCCATGATGGTTTTGTTTGTTTACCCACAATTAAAAGCCCCTCTCAGCAATTTAGGATTGCACTTACTTAAAGTTAGGTACTCAGTTAGCTACTTAGTTACTCAAGATCAAAGCGGCTGCTATAGCTTTTAGTTTCGAGAATGGTTCAAGCTCCAAACAATGCTGAATCCTACGTTTCCCATAATGCAATCGATTGCATTTTTTTGTTAGACCCTTCGTGCCAGTTAAACGCCCTCGTCAAAGTCCACATATCCGCTCAATTCTCTACTCAGCCGAGCTGGAATAATCCTGATGACATCATCGGGGTCCCTTAGAAAAGCTCGTCCAGACTTTATACGACTGTGACGAGTAAACTGAGCCTTTATCTGTAAAACCGCTGGCTCTATATATCATCACAACAAAAATCCCTGGATAAACATGCAGGGAGAAGTGTGAAGTCGTGGTGACTTACTGCTTCCCTTCCTGGCTTGGATGGACAGCGAGGCCCTGATTCCCGCCGTCAGCGCCATAGAGCCAGCATTGGAGTCGGGGCCGCGATGAAAGACGCCCGAGAGGCGATTAGTTTGGCGATGGATGCGGCTCTTGCCGGGCTGTCTGGCGGCCACGGCCTCCGTTGCCCTGCTGGTGGATGAACTGCCAACAGATGAAGCTGATCTGATGAAAGGAGGAGAGGTCTATGATCAAGACGCTGAATCCCTTCCAGCTGATTTGTACTGTACCTCTGACTTTGACTGGCTGTGGAAGGGCAGTAAGAGATGAAGGAAGATTCCCTGTAGGGTGCTGCAGGAATTAGTCCTAAAACCCCAAAATGAGTCAGCATTTTTGCCCTTCTGGTTCCCTCAACTCTTATTCAATGTTTTTCTTTAATGGGCTTTTGGTTAGGTGTCTGAAGTAAGTTATGTGGTTAACACAAGCTCAAGATATTTTCATGTTTTGTTTGACGATTTATGAAATGTGTCAGGAAATACCCCTCACGTGAATTTTGAAGCTTTAACGCGTCTTAAAAAAGGCGATCGCTAAAAAGTAACACGACTGGTCGGCCTTTAGCTTCAAGGTGGTGATGTGAAGTCACGTGACCGTGTTGTGGTTCCTTCGTAGCCATAACGTTAGCTTTTTTACTTCTGCCAACTGAATTCGCGCTTCGAAAATCATACAACTTGTGTTCATTTGTGAATCTTGTTGAACAAAAGGTGTAAGTATAATAAGCGTTTGTTTGCCGAAGAGCTTATTTTCTGCAGAAATCCCAAAAGAAAAATCCCATTGGCTTTTTGTCGAGGGAACCACTGCGATGCTAACATCCCAGGTTGGCCTATAAAAACATCATCCTCGCAGAGTTCCACGCCATCGTGTGAACAGAGGGATGGGGGAAGGCGAGATCAACTGTTTGTATGAGAGAAAATATAATGTTGGCATGAAGAAAATATTTAGTAGATAGATGGTGGGAAAAAACGAAGCACAAAACATTCTGCAACACAACATCATCACAACCTGCATCACAGAGGTCCTATAATCTCGCTACAATGCAGCGCATACATACATACATGTCTGTCTTTGAGCACAATGCCGTCCAGTCCCCTCCACCATGTCTCCCTCAGCTCTCTGCTCTCAGCACATTAATGAAATAATGAAGTGTTGTTTTACTTCTGACCAAGCCTGTAAGCTTCTTATCGCCGCGGTTCAAAGGTTCTCTGCACTTTCACCACCCTTTGGGTATAAAAGATTTAAGGTTTCTGACCAATGATATTAATGAAGCTGGTTGCTGCAGAACAGACAGAAGGCTCAGTGATGGAACATGACGGCACATGAGCAGCATGTCAGTGGTTTGGCGATTTTGATACATAAAACAGCTTTGAGGTTGATGAGGAGTTCAGCGCTTAGTTTAAACCTGGAGAAACCAGCGTTCAGTTTTTATGAGTTTAGTGTTTCATTTCGTCTTTATTCCATCAGATCATTCTCCAGTCTCCCCTTTAACCAATGAAAGCACTTCTCCTTCTGAGGTAAAAAAAATAGAAGAGAACTAGTAGACTGTATGGGGTTTCCCAATGACTTTTCATGAGCACATGAAGAGAAACAACAAAATGTGACAAACAAGACTCTAACATCATGACTCTCTCACAATTCATTTGTACAAAGAGGAAAAGCCCCCGCGGGTCACACTCACTGCTGGGATCCATCACTTGTCTTCCTTCCCAATTTGACAAACCGTCTCTGTGGCGAAGCTGCGGGTAAAACCGGTGGTCTCGGTGGGAGAGAACGCAACTCCTCGGTGGAAAACTTCGTCTGATTCATTCCCGTCTGATGGACTCGGGTGCTTCTGCTCGACTTAAACTCTTCTAGATAATTTCACTCGCGAGGACAAGCGGTTACCATCATTGCGTCCCGTCGGTCTGCGATGTGCGCGGATCGCTTCGCGTCATTCCAGCGGGGGGGGGGGTTCATCCAGGACAGGCGTCACAGTCACTTAATTTTACGCACAGGCGCCGCAGATGTTTCAGCCCTCATCCAGCTGTTGGAGCTGCTGAGGGGTGCGACGGCAGCGCGTGAGCCCGAAGGTGCGGCTTTACTGTTTCTGTGACGCTGACACGTCAGGTGAGAACTATTATAATTATTATTATTAATCACTCCGCGCGCAGCTGGAGGAGGCAGTTTGGGTTCAAACTCTGACTGAAACCGCTCTCCAGATGTGCGTCGACAGCGCAGCTGCTTGGAGATGCCAAGCGCGCGTACACACCCGCCCACCCATGCTAAAACTTTCAAAATAAAATCCTCACAGTAGAATGAGCTTCAGGCTGTGTTTTTTATCTTCATTCTAAAGCCAGTTAGCTAATATTTCGGCAGTGAGAAAAACTCACAATTTGTAGAGTTCCACTCAAATCAGCAGAGAAACGGTCCTCCTGCCCACCATGAACCGAGTGAACCAAAGGACCAACTGCTGCTGCGTTCATGACTCCATCTTCTGGCTGCGCACAGATCTGAATTTATAGTTTAAAAGTAACGAGCTTACTGTTCTAGTATAAGCCTGATTTATGTTATCACATGTCTTAACTCACCTTGAGTAAAAATATCAATAGCTTTCTTTAGTTCAACCTCACTAACATCATCGCTATCACTATAACATTGTGTAAGGTTGACACATAGTGGGCTGGATTTCATTTGACAGTTTTGTTTAACAACAAAACAAGCTAGCTATCCAGCCATGCCATGCACCGATAAACTACACTGATTTTTGTAAATAAGATAATAAAAAAAATGATATTAAATTGAATTATATGTATTAATGTAACCAGCGCATTCATTTAGAACAATAAACAGGCAGTTCCACTGAAACTAACTTATCCGGAATTAAAGGACACCCTACAGCCAATCACAACTGGGTATTTACCCAGACCATGGCATAAAAATATATAATATAATATAATATAAATAGAAACAACTTTACAGTAAAACCTATAAATTACTTCTTACAGGATTTCACAGGTCTATATGTTCATGCAAGCTATTTAATTGTAGTCTCCAAGCCTGAACTGAGCTGGAGTTCAGGATTGACCCTGATGACATCATCAGGAGTTATTATTTTGTCTCCACCAAGCTTCCTCCAGAGCCACATAAGACATGGCACAACGTCTTTCATGGGCATGGTATAAAGTGAATTTGATGTATGAAATTGGTGTATTGTCCCTTTAAGTTCAAGTTTGTCCACAGGACTGGATTTCAGTGGACACTTCATCACAGTGTTGCCACTTTACTCAATGTAAGTAAAGGATTTAAGTACTTAATATAGCTAAGAAGGTGATGCCAATCGTATTGATCCTAATCCTATGATACATCCACTCTTACCAGGATTACTGATGCTAACACTGATACAGAATATAATGACTAATGCTAACATGAGGCTGCTAATACTAAAATAGACCATTGTGCCAATATTAATACTAAATATGATGCTAATACTTCACCTAATATTGATGCAACCTCCCCCTGCTTCTTCTACTATATTAATGCATGAGTATTAATGCCAACAATCAACATGGCCCCGATCCTGAGGCTGTGTGTGCCACCAGTTGACCACTAGATGGTGAGCCCTGCAAACAGCTGAACCTCCTGGTAACCCACTGAACAGTTTACGTGTGGATATTGTTTACAGGAACAATTAAATCAAAGGTTCAACTGTGAATTTTTAAATTCATTTTGTCAAATTTTTCAAAGGCCGTGTTCTCTATGAAATCATCATCAAGACTTCCCAGGGCTTTACTGACCTATAATGCCCAACTTTCGAACATTCATTTTGGTTTATTGTAACCTGACTTTATAGGTCACCTGTACAATTCAAACATCAGCCAGTGGGGCCCGGAGGGAAATCCCTCCATGCATGCATGGTGAGATAAAAGGTCCTGGGCCCTTCTTGCATAACTTGAAACCGCTGATACCCGAGGACCTGCGACAATGGATAAATACAACACAGGGCTTCCCTCGCGATGAGTTCACCCCGGCAGGTCCCTCTGCCGGCTGGCTTCGTTGGCATCGGAAAGGAGATCCAACTAATCGCAGCAGCATCTGTGTGCCAAGGGCTCTTCTTGGAACACTGAGGATTTAACGTCCCGTAATCAGATTCCCCTTGTTGAACGAGAAGGAGTGACACCTGCAGCAGGACTGAGACTTAACAAAGCCTCACCGCTCCACAGAGGAATTCCACTACAATATAACTTAAAGTCGAATGTCTTTCCTAAACATAAAGTTCCCTCTCTCCACCAACGTTGGACAAATCAGCTATTTTGCATCACAAACCAAATACAAAGCAATGCACTGTGTAATTCTAACTCTGTCTTTCCTCTATGGTTTGGCCTGAAATGACTTGCATGCAGAACAGGCCTTGGTATATTACGCTTTTATCTGATGTTTTTTTTATTGTCAAAACTGATTAATCAGATAAACCACCACCACAAACTCAAAAGATTACTGAGAACTTCAAAGATCAGTGACTCTTTAACTCAGGCGGATGTAACCGTAGCAACTACAGCCCAAACTAAATCAGACGGACTCGGTAGCTCTCATGTGTCCTCTGTAATGTTTTTTAGGAAATGTCAAACTGCAGGGATTTGAGTTTAAAAACATTTTTGGGAGTTTCACTTGCAAGGGAAAGAGTGCATCATATTGTGATCTGACCCGGCGATGTAACTGTAAAGCGATATGTCTCATTAGGGACTTTTTCACACTAACTGTTAAAGCAGCAGTTGGTATCTTTTTAGGAAAATAACTTTTTTTTGTCCCATTTGCTCAAACTGTCACTATATCCTGACAGTAGTACATGTGACATTTAATCTGTGGGGGGAAAAAAACAGGCTTCTCTGCCTCATTAGCTTTTGCAAGATCCACCGTGGCCCGAGAAAAACAACCAATCAGAGGCGACGCAGTGTTTTAAATCCCTGCTCGTGAACTCTAATCAAACTGTCAATAGGCGGCGCTTGATCAAATATAAATCTAAAGATTTAGTCAGAAACATATTAAGAGCAAGGTTAAGCCGTAAAACGAGAACATCTGCTCCGGGTTGCTGCATTCTGACACCTTTTGCCCCGAGCTTACACAGCTTCATCAGCGCTGGGCTGTCAGCTGTTTCACACTTACATCTTTAAATGTGGGATATCCCACCCTGATCCCAGAGGTCTCACTAAATCCCCCTCCAAGAGCACAGTTATCTCTGACCTCTCTCTGCGATCCCTGACAAGGAAAAAGGGAGACGTCGACCCTGGAGACGTCGACCCCTTTGCATTTCACCCTTCCTAACAAATTAGAAGGAGCTGGTGGCCACGGGGCAAGCAAACAGAGACCTGCACCTGTTCTGTTATGAGAGGCGACAAGTCACATGCTGTGTTGAAGATGCTTTCTGTCACCACAGTTTTGTTTTCACTGAAAGATACTTTCTTCCTAAAACCCAAAACCATTTCCACGGCCTTGAGGGGGTACCGGTGCTGATGGTCCAGGAGTTAAAGACGCGTTTCCCCCACCTTCACGTGCAGCTTCCTGTCAGACAGGAAGCAAGCCATCCACTGCTAGGAAGAGATTGTCCTGCAGCAGAGCCAGATTGAAGCCGTTAACGGCAGAGCTGAGGTCCACAAACAGGATCCTGGCATAGGTTCCTGAGGGGTCCAGCCAGGCCCTGGAGGATGAGATGAACATACCTGTTGGCTCTGTAGAACCTGTGGGGGGTCAAGGAGTGGGTTAGCGATGGTTCTGAGGCAGGACTTTAGGGCCCGTTCTGTCATCATTAGGTCCAGTTGTTCATGTTTATTCGGGGACAAGTTGGCATTAGATAACTCTTCATTTGCATATTCAAAAATAACATTTCAAAAATATTAGAAAATCTGAAAAATTATTGTCTCAATGTAAGTAATGAACCGGGGAAGTTTCACCTATTCACCTGTAGTGCCGTCAAAATGTATGTCATTTCACATATCCATAAAGGCCGTTTTCTCCAAATTATTGTTTTCTCAATCTCTACTTCAGGAGCACTAACAAACAGCAAACTTTCTAGTTTCATTCCCATCTATATTCTGAAGGATTTCACTGACGGGTTTATTCCTATAATTCGTAGCCTGATTTATACAACATTTTAGACCTAAAACATGGCAGAATGGATTTTCTGTTGACAGTAATTTCTGATTTATGGAGAGATAAAAGGAAATATCCTATATTCCCTCTGTAAAAACTTGTGACATTAAATAAATTTTTATACCTGGCTTCATCCAATCTTCAGGTTTCAGTTCTGGAGATGTATGCTAATTGGCATAGATTGTGGAGTGGCAGAGCAATCGGCCTACTAACATTGCTAGTGTGTACAGAATTGCTTGAGTAAACCTTCCGGGCTGTAAAATGAAGGCTTTACATTCCTTAAATGTCTGTAATGTATTCAGCTGTATGGACGTATGAAGGTGCAGGCAGACACTCAATGGGTGGGGCTGAGGACCTGTTGCTGCACCTCTCCCACACATAGACGTATCATTGTGAGGACCTGACATAAGCCCAAACCTCGTACATTTATGTAACTCACTTCACCCCGACCCTCTGCTCCTGACTGCTGGTCCTTCATGAATTGCGAGGACCACCAAAATGTCACTCTGGCCCGGCTCTAGTCTGCCTGTAATTATATTCCTCACTTTATAAAACCGTGATGGAATGATTCAGCAAAAGCGACAGATTTCAATTTGTTGAGTCATGTGTGTCATGTTGTGTGTGTGTGTGTGTGTGAGAGAGAGAGCACGCCCGTCGTGCTTGGACTGTACAGACTGGGATGTTTTCAGGACTGCTACCAATGAGCACCATGCACCAGGGTGAGTTACAACAACGACAAACCCTGGCTGAACTCAGCGGTTGCATACGGATCAGGCATTTAGCATGTTTAGAGAGTCAAAATACAGGTTTAGCAAGGCAGTGAGAGACGCTAAACGACAGCACTCTGAGAAACTGTAACACCAGCTCTCAGCAAGTGACTCGGTCACTCAGTCAGATCACAAGCCCAAAGCCCCCCCACTCCAGCAATGACGGAGGCCTGCAAGCTGGTTGCCCCCGAAAGCTGCGTTCTTTCCCCTCTACTCTTCTCCCTATATACAAACAGCTGCACCTCAGTCACCAGTCCGTCACGCTCCTGAAGTTGGCGGATGACACCACCCTCATTGGACTCATCTCTGGTGGAGATGAGTCCGCCTACAAGTGGGAGATTGACCATCTGGTGAACTGGTGCGGTCTGAACAACCTAGAGTTCAACGCTCTAAAGACAGTGGAGATGGTTGTGGATTTCCTGCTCCTATCACCCTGTGTGACTCCCCCGTCGACGCTGTGGAGTCCTTCCGCTTCCTGGGCTCCACCATGACCCAGGACCTCAAGTGGGAGCTGAACATCAGCTCCATCACCAAGAAAGCTCAGCAGAGGATACACTTGCTGAGGCAGCTGAAGAGGACAATGATGGTGCACTTCTACACAGCCATCATTGCGTCCATCCTCTGATCCTTCGCTCTGCTCAGAGGGTGATTGACTGCAATCTGCCGTCCCTCAACGACTTGTTCGCCTCCAGGACCCTGAGGCGGCGAACAGAGATTGTAGCCGACCCCTCTCACCCAACTTGGACACAAACTATTTGAGTCCCTATCCCTCAGGCAGGAGACTGCGGTCCATCAGGACCAAGACCTCACGTCACATGAACAGTGTCTTCCTGTCTGCAGTTGGGTTCATCAATAAAGCCCACTGACTCAGACACTTACATCCCCAGGACAATTTCTTACAGTTACACACCCTTTCACATCTTTTCTCTATCAATATACACTTGCAATTTTAATAATACTTGTTTTAACAGAATGTTATTTGTTTGTTTATCACATAAAAATTTGAATATTTTTCTATTTTTAAATGATGTCACATAATGCTTATTGTCATGCACCATTCACCTAGTCAAATTCCTCCTATGTGTAAAGTTTGGCAATAAACAGAGAGAGATAGAGAGAGAGACAGAGAGAGACAGAGAGAGAGAGGGGGGGACAGAGAGAGAGACAGAGAGAGAGGAGGAGAGACAGAGAGAAACAGAGAGAAAGAGAGAGAGAGAGAGACAGAGAGAAACAGAGAGAAAGAGAGAGAGAGAGAGAGACAGAGAGTGAGTGAGAGGGGGAGAGAGAGAGAGAGAGAGAGAGCGAGAGGGGGAGGGGGCGGGGCCAAGCAAGCTGACACCCTGCCATCATGACAACCTCCCCTTCAACTGATTCTCCGCTGACTCCGAGACGACTTTTCTTTTCCGTCTCTCAGCAGAGCGGAAGTTGCGGAGCGTTTCTCTGCGCAGGTCGGTCCACGGTGTCAACAGAAACCGAAGCGCCTCCGCAACACGTACCGTACCGGTCCGTGTGGCATGTGACAGTCAGCGAGCGTTTTTTTTTTTTTTTTTACCGCAAAGGAACAGGGGAAAGCTGTCGACCGGTAGCGAGGTTTAAAGAGCTCTCCGTCTGTTCTCCCGGTCTCCCGCCGACTGACAAGAGATGGAGCGGCTTTGCGGACCAGAGCTCCCTTTCTGGGTGAGTACGGTTTCCCGTCACTCGCTGTGGTCCGCTCCCCTGGTTTTTCCACGAGTGGCGTGTATGTTACCAGATAGCCTACTGTAACTCCATTGGCCGTGTGTATGTATGCATGTGTACTACCTGGCAAGGTTGAGCAATGTTATGCCATGTTTTTCTTTTCTTTTCCGGGCAGCCATTTAGAAGTACACCAGCGGTCATAGCTAAGTATATATATAACCCTCTTAATAGCCTTTACTGTGTTGACAAGCTCCCAATTAATGCCGAATTACGTATCGTTTGCTGTATAGAGAGGCAGGACACTGCTGCCCTCGAGGACATGTACTCCTGTAGGAAACTAAGATTATATAGCTAAATATGAATGTTTTGTAGTATTTAGTGTACACCTTTGACACGATAAGGTCGGGGAACTTATCTCAGAGTCAGTATACAGTAGCTACGTCCCTCTAGGAATAATACAGTGATAGTACACTAGAGATAACAATACTACAAAGTATGTATCTAATGGATAGCATATTAAACACACGCTGCAGTCTCATTGGGAATATTTCTGCATGGTGATAAAATCACATAAAGTATAATAGCTACTTTATACACATATCATTGTAGACAAAATCACCAACAAGAGATGCATATCACTGTTAATCACCACAGACACCCTATCAGTAAGTATCATGAGTACTATAGGAGATAAGAAATACCGTAGTAGGGTATTAGGATGAGGTAGTACCACACACAGACACGTTAAATCCTAATGGGAATATTATGGAAACTTTCTATTTCTTACACCACTTTTCCTCAGAGAGCTAGAGGATGACGCTCTGTTAAAGGTAACCGGGGTCACACAGAGTGCCTTTTCTACCCACGCAAATAATAATGTGTGTTTTAATCCTGTGAATGATAAACATGGCAAACACGCATTCCCACAGCCATAAATCAAATCACTGGTTCACATTGACGTCTGATACAGATCTGCGCAAGTTCTGCCATGAGACGTCATTGAGGACTCTTTGAATTGGATATTACACTGAGGGCCGGCTTGTTTTTGAGGTGATCTGAGGTGATCTAAACTGGTTGCTGCTGTTTACGACCACTTCAAACAAACTGGAGGCAGTTGTAATCCCCCCAGCACTCAAAAATGCATGTTCTGTGCGAGTCGGTTTAAACACGAAGGCTTCAGAACAAGGACTTCATTTGCAATCTCATTGTTTGTAAAAAAATATGTCAGATACAACCGGTTTTATCTCCAGTTGATAAAAGGTGAAGCTCAAAATAGACTTACGTTTGTAAAACCAGCACTCCAACCGCTCCTTGCTTTGTAGGGAAGATTAATTAACAAGCTTTCAAGCGATAGCCTGCACACAATCTTGACGGAAAGGGGCTTTAAAGGTCCTGTGTATCTGCTAACACGCTGATATAATGGTTGCTTTTCACTTTCAAGTGTCACCTTCAAAAGATCAAGATCTCTTAGATCTGATCCCAAAAGCGTGCCAAATTTGAGACCACGCTTGCTGAACAAGAACTTTGAAATTGTTGCATTTGACTTTTGTGTCAGTGTGTCACTAACATGGGGAAGTCTGAAACATTGATTCCTGTGCAACAAAGTAACAATATGTTCCAATTGAATTGTAAACTCTATCTAATAGGCTACCAGATTAAAGATTGTTTTCGTTATTGCTACATCTGACGATTTGGGGCAGTGTGTAGGAATTGGTGGCATCTAGCAGTGTGGTTGCAGATTGCCACCAACTGAATACCCCTCTGCTGAAGCCAGGTGCAAAACCCCGGTAACGCTAAGAGCCTCGCTCTGAGGCCATCGTCGAGTGTTGACAACGAACGTGCGTATTATTTTTGGAATCATTTCATGTGACAGGTTAGGAGATTGTGTGCGCTGCCATCGCTGGTGCATTTGTTTTGCAGGGTGGGTTAATGTGTCACTCATTGGAGCAACAACAGCAGACTGTGGCGTGGATGGCATGCAAATGTTGGAGCGTGTTATAGCTGGATTCTGTGACTGGCATGTGGGACATGATTTACATGTTGCGTGAGCTGTGCTCCCTGTCTGACTGTGCCTGGTCATAAAGTCCAAAATATTGAGATTGAAAGTTCATTCTTGATGTTCGCAAACAGCAGTTGGTAAAACAATCTCGCTACAAAGGCCAATAATAATGGTTCACTGTGAGCATTTTTAGGTAGCCATGTCCATCTCTGCTTAAAGGCGCAATGTGTAGGAACTAGCCACATGCTCCAAATGTGCCCACTTCAAAACATCCAAACTATCCCTTTAATACAGCTGTTAAAAAAAAGGTCAGCCTTGAATAGCATTAATTACTGGATTTGATTTAATAATCAAAAATTGAAAATCCACAGTTCTATGACAATTGGGCAAACTTCATTTGCTTAGGAAGATCATGAGATATAATCAAAAGCTCCCGAAGAGCTTCTAATGGACCTTTTGGTGAAATAGTTTCCCTAAGCCCCAAAAATGTTTAATGACCAAAAAAATACACCAGTGTTGATGTGAACTCACCCGTTCATTTGGAGAAACTAATGCATGAATTGACCGTGTGCTCCAGTTACAAAAGCTACAAGGAGTGTATTCACAAGGAGGCGTAGCAGCAGCAGACATAATGTGTGGCAGGCAGCACAGACATGTTCCCAAACCCATTCATCAGCAGCAGTTAATACCAACGATTCAGACTGTCAGCGGCGGCTCGGGTTACCCTTGTGTTGATGGAGAGCTCGGTGTAAGCTATAAGGTGTTGCATAAGTCTTGACATATTTCATTCCCTCCCTAGTCGAGGTTTCGCTGCTGTAGGCTGAGGCTGAACGGAAATTGAAGAAGTGAAAGTCACGAGGGGCGTTTGGTGGGAAAGTTCCCTGCTTCCCAGTAGTCAGCGTGTATCTGTTGAGGTTTTTTTTCCGCACTGTGAATGACTGCAGGGAAATAATAACAGTAATGATAATGGCTCCATAAAGTAAATTCAGCATTTTCTTATCTAGGTTTGGCTTGATGAGTCATTTGTCATTTCTTTGATCCCAAATTTCGTCTCAGTTAGAAACATCTCGCAATCATTGCATCCGAATATTTGCCTTCCACTCGCCCATCCACTCATTTATCATAGATTTCACTTGTTAAAACCAACTTCCAGAACTTAATTCAAATTAACAATTAAATATAAAATGTTCCATCAATACAACTTCCCTGCACCCTATTGACCCGTCACTATATTATATTACACCCCTGAATGCAGACTGGCCAATCATAGTGTAGTATTGGCCTCGCTCCGACAGGGTCCGACATCTATCTGGCTCTGCTCCATAGACTCTCATGCAATGGTTTCAGATTTCCTTAATTTTCAGGCTGATTTCGTGGATTTGGAGCTGCTCACGGTTTAATGTTGTGTAATAGTGATGCTCGTTACCCAGAGGGGTTAGAAGGAGATATACGTTTCTAAAACATTACGTTTCTACGTAAAAAACCTGGGGAGCTAACATTAGCAGCTAGTGCATATTGTTCACCCTCCTGTCTCTCTTGATAAATGAAAAAATGATAATGTTAATTCATGGAGTTATCCAAATCTGACTGCAGGCCGGCCTGTGATTTATTATCCTTCCTGTCTGAGTCACTTCCTGTGTGTTCTGCAACAGTTTTATTGGTTTTCACTTTCAAGTAAGACAGAAAGTTGCGTCTAAAGCACACGGATAGGAATGTCTATGTCTGCATTCAAGGAATCCGTGAGCGTCCAGTAAACTGTGAAGAACACAGATACATGAATAACACTGCTAATGTTTTCCATGTCGGAGTGCAAACGAACAGCAGCGATTCGTGTCTTTACTGTCGTCGGCCTTAACCAGACAGATTTTCAGTGTAACAGGGAACAGATGGACAGCCTGCAGCCATTTATTCTCTCAAACCTCTGAATACACTAGAAAGCACCCCACAACACCTGCACTACTTTTAGAGGTGTGTTGGCTGACTGTTACTGACTTAGACTCCACAAGCTGGTACAGATTGACATAGCATTAACTTACCCTTCGCTAGGTCCCGCCCCTCGAACACAGACTGGCCAATCAGCGTAGTGTCGGCCAGCTCAGACCAGGGTACGACCATCCAGCGACCATCCAGCGGTACTCCATTGACTCTCGCGCTATCGTTTCTGATTTTCTTCATTTTTTCAGGCTGGTTTCGAGGATCTGGAGCGAGTCATGAGCCCCTTTAACACAGCCTGTTCACGGCGGGACTGTTGCTCCGTATACCTTCTGAGCAGAGGGCGCGATCCTCCTGGATATATTCTGGAAATGCATATTGTGAAGCCTTCTGTGTGCTTCTCTTTGAAATCGTCTTTTCACAAAAAATGAGATCATATTTATTCAGAGAGTGCAGTTAGTGACAGTGTGGGCTCCATGGTAGCTCTGACAGCTGGACAGAGTAGCAGCCGGGGGCGTTAGATAAGAAGATTGATATCATTACCGTAAATATGAGACTACTAGGGCTGCAACTAACGACTATTTTGATAATCGATCAATGTGTTGACTATTAGATTGATGGATTATTGATCAGATAAAAAGTTTTTTATTATCATATTTGATTGGATATTGCTCAAGGAAGTTTCTGTTGTGAAGAAATGATTTACTCAACCCCGCTCTGACTAACGGCATGTTACAATGTTACAGCAGTGTCTCTCCAGCTTAATGTCCTGTTAATTAGCTCGAGCTGAATCTGCCGTCTCTGGCGGATTTGTGTCTGGACAAATCAGGTTGATTTAAAAATGTAACGTAGAGAGAAACCTTCTGTTTGTGTTCTCTCCGTTCTGTGATGGATCAACAGAGCCAGGCTTTGGGGCCTGCCCTGATCGTGAAATATATTTGTAGAGTGCTGCAGGGAGTGTTGTGGTTTGGAGGGTTGTTCCTCTTCTTGCAAATTTCAGACTGCTGGTCTGCTTCCCTCTGGCTGTTTCAGAGCTGCGATGTGATACTGTGGTACTGTATGGGCGACTGTGGCGAAGTGGATAGCAGGGCCGTACTTCAATCAGAGGATCGGTGGTTCGGTCCCCGGTTCCGGCTCCGCTAATTGCATGTCGATGTGTCCTTGAGCAAGACACTTAACCCCAAAAATTGCTCCCGTAGAAATGTGATAGAATCTGAATTGTAAGTCGCTTTGGATAAAAGCGTCTGCTAAATGACTGTAATGTATTATGCAGACTGTAGACGACTATACTGTATAACATGCTACAGAGGGTTGTGTTGACGGTTGCGGGATGCTCGCACACGCTGTTGAGCCTTCTCCGTGTCATGGGCCGTATTATACAGACGAGGCCAGCCCCTGTAGTTTAGCCTAAGCAGATAAAATTAACTGCATTCTCTCCTCCAGGCATCACTACGCCACTATATCTATAGATAACAAATAGTTGTTTGTTTCTATACTATGACTAGTAACTATATGTTAGAGCAGTGGAATTTGACAGGCAGGGACTGGCCTACTGAGCGACCCCGGCATTCAGATGAGGTTGCCCTAACAAGCCACGAAAGACAGCTTTGGAAGTTTAGCATGAGCAGACCGTAATGTAATGTAATATACTGCTAATGTAAACTTCCTGCTTCTTCACAGTAAAAGCTTTCCATCACTCAGCCTCAGGAATGCTTTTACTGTGAAGCGGGTACGGCGATTACTCATCGTTCAGAGAGAGTCACTTCATATCTCTTGGGCGCCTTCAAATCGAGCGACGGGGAATAAATAGAACTAAAAGTTCAGGTCAAAACGGTGCACAGTGCCGCATCTCTCCTGGCCAGTGGCGACCTTCTGAGAAATAACAGCCGACCAATTCTGTTGATGTATAACAGGCAGCATTTTTGTTTGTGTAACTTGATCTTGTTATTCTTGTTAGTCACTGAGTATTGAGAAATACAAAAAACTCTTTCAGTGAAAAGTGTTTATTTGCACAAGTTTACTTTAATGCGTTATAGAAAAACTCCATAATCGTACACACACTTCTACTCTGCTTCAATGCCATCATTGGCCACACGGCCTTTATTAGAGCACATCAGACTGGAGCAGGTTTCTGTTTGTTTTTGAAGTCGGGCTTTAGCAATAGGTCCCTGTGGCTCTGAAACCGTCCGTTGATAATAGCTCGGTGCTACGCAACAATCCCACGAGTGAATAAACCCACGGGGGGGGGGGCACTCTCTGCCTCATCGTCTAGAGGACTGGTTTCAGGCTCCCTGTTCTTTGATTGTGAGGTCTAAGCCCGACCCACTGAAGCCGGCTGGCTGTAATAGCAAAGCGCCTCACCCCTTTTCTTTTTTTTTTATCTCACCTTTTGTTGAAGTTTCAGGTTTCAAGTGTAGTGATAACAGCCTGAAAGTCTGTGAAGGGCAGCCATTATACATTTCGTAAGAGTGTGTTAGGAGCAGCTTTTCTCTCATTTTTTCATGATTATCATCAGAAAAAGTCTGCTTTGGTTATGAATGATTATAATTTCTGATGCCTTTGTCACCATTTAATAGCTTCTATTTGAAACGCTCCTCACGGTGAGCTCTGGACTATTAATGCTTATGAATTGTGTTTGAGTTCAAGATATTTCGTTATCAACAATGCTGTGAATTGATATTGATCGTTAACTTTGTCAAGCCTCCACAAGTTCTTCTGTGCAGAAAACCGACTCTGTATCAGGTGAATCATTTAAAAAAAGGGAGTGACCACATTCTTTCATAACAACCAGAGGAGCCTTTATTTTCTCCCCTCATCCATGGAAACAATCATCACCCATCACCTCCTTACCACTACAACACTTTCAAACACACACTTGGCCTTACACGCGTGATTCACGCAGGTGGGTGTGCCGGTGTATCTAGCAGCTGTGTTTATCTTGGTTCCATCTGTGGGTGGGCCCGAGTCAGCGTTTTTCCAGGGGCCCACGGGAACCGCTGTGTCACTATGATTCATGTTTACTTTACCTTTCTCCTCCGGATGTCCACTGGATCACTCGGTCATTGTCCCTCTGCAGCAAAATAAATGAATCATACTGTTTTCATACAATGTCGTGGAAAAGTTTAACATTACCATATCGCCACACGTAGAGCTCGAGTTTCTTACCTTGGTGAACCCAAGCCCGTGTTTTCAGGTCCCTGCATGCTTTTGATTCTAGTGTGGAAGCAGCAGAAGTGACCTAGATTGATTAAAGTGCTCAAGTTAGGCCGAGCACGTGGTCGCCCTTCCCCTGGGCAAGTCACAAACAAACCTGTGCTCCAGGACAGACCCAGATTCGGCTAAGCCGCTGCCCTCGACCTCGACCTCTCCTTCGACTAGGAGCAGAGCTTCCCCTCTCTGCTCCGCTGGAAGCCAACACCGACACCTCCGCCCTGCTGGAGACCCAGGCCGTACTGCTGGACCCGCCTGAGTGAAGGGAGGTACGGCAGAACCAGGACCGTGTGGGGCAGACTGTCAAACTCTGCTTCAGTAAAATAAAAGGTTTCTAAATGGACTCTGGTGTGGAAAACATTACTGCTTTTTGTCCACAGAATGAAGTCCTCCAAGTAGCTTTAATATACAGTAACTGATTAACAGCTACAATAAATCTCTGATCTGATTCATTCAGGAAGAGAACACAGTGTCACAGTTGTGAAGCTCTGTATGCACTTCAGTACGTCACATGGTCTCATTCCTCAAAAGCGGGATTGAATTTTACGTTTGGTATTTGGTATTTCCTGCACACAGGCCCACTCCTGCAGCCTCCGAATCTGAAAAGACCCATTTAACTTGCTTCACTCAGCTAAAGCTGGTTGTCTCTGCATTTAAGGTTATTGAGAGCTTGTAAACTTGAAGAACTTGAATTTCCAACATGTTTGCCCCCCCCCTTTACTATAGAGATGGGGAAATACTGTCAAAGTGTTTACTGATATCACTTCAAGGAAAACATCCGGTCCGATAAAGTTCTTGTGGTGTGTGGGAGTGCAGGAGGAGCGGTGATGCCACGTGTGTGCAATGTCGATAGCGTGTGTTTGAGTCATGATCTGTGCTGGTCAGTGGGAAGGTTCAGATAGCACCGCTCAGATGGCGTGCAAGCTAATGTGCTGTTCCCCATGCTGTGTGTCTCTGCAGGAAATTAATCAGACGCTCCACACAGATCGGCCCGACCTCCCAGAGTGTTTCCAGCTCTCTGTCCTGTCATGGCTGCCGTGCGTCTACCTTTGGGCCGTCTGCCCCATCTACCTCTTCTATCTCAAGAGGAACAGCAGAGGCTACATCATGATGTCCATCATGAACAGGTTCAAAACGGTGAGATTCGCTTTTAACACTGTGTACTCCAAAGCGCACGGTAAGACCGATGCATGTGATTGATATCGGTCGCTCAGTGTTATGAGTACAGTTGGTTGATGAGTACTTCATTGGTGGCTCCAAAACAGTTAGTTTTAATTTCACCGTCGCCATCTTAGAATACGGCAACCGATGAACGAAAGTTACCATATTTGGAAGGAGGAGGAGGAGGAGTGATGTAGAGATGCCGGATACGGCTGTGATAGCGGCAACGACCTGTCAATCACAGTAGCCTCGCCCTAAAGCTGACTCCTCTTTATGGTCCATTGTACTCTAAATGGACCATAATTACTAAATGAACATCGTGCTGTATTGAAGAAGACTTGAAACTAGAGATTGAGACCATAAACTCATGTTTACAATGTTTACTTAGGTAATAAATAAGAGAGAAGTAGAGCCGTTTTCTCATAGACTTCTATACAATCAGAGGAGTCGCCCCCTGCTGGTCAGTAGAGAGAATGCACATTTTAAGACACTTGCATATCGGCTTCACTCTGCAGAACCGGAGGTTGCCGCCTGGCTGCAACGTTTGTATATCCAGCAGCAAAAAGTCAATGAGCCAATCAGCCCACTGCTGAACAAAACGCTGTTCGCTTTTTTATTCAAAGTTAATTTATGTTGAACGTGTCCATATTGCACCAACTTAAACACTGCACGTATAACAATCCGTCCACCCGTCTCTTGTGAAGTAGGTCGGATGAAGCATTCTTGAGATATGTGAAGGACACACACAGTGATTCCTTGCTTTATAGTTAGATTTGACTCTAAATGCAAATGGTAATTACTAACTTCTGAACAATGAGCACAGGTAAATCCAAACCCCCCCCCCCGCCAATGCTTAGATAAATTACGGGCCAGTTAATCATCTCCCTTACTTCCCTGTGTTGCCTTTCCTCCTCTCTCTCTGCTGCTCTCAGGTGTTTGGCTTGTTGTTGTGGATTGTGTGTTGGACCGATCTCTTCTACACATTCCACGAGCTTCGGCAGGGTCACACCCAGCCGCCCATCTACTTCGTCACCCCGCTGATTCTGGGCATGACCATGGTGAGGATATCTCCACCCAAAAACAGTTGCCTCTTTTCAGGTTTTGTAAGAAGATGTGTGGTTCTGTTTTTTTTATCGAATGCTCTTGCTGCCCTCGGTCAACTGTCTTTAACTCAAAAAACTTGTTTGGGGTCAACATGTTGAATATTTCACAGTATTACTTTAAAGTATATATTCAAGCCACAATGGGAATTTCAGGGCTGCAATAATTTATTTTGTTATAAATGAATCTATCGGATATTTTTTCAATTAATTTGTTCAGTGTTTTCGTCTTTGGTCCATATAGTCTTCACAATGGCTAATTCTATACAGTATGTACTACGCTAAACATCATTATTTACTTTTTTAGCAGTTAATATGCCAAAAAATTGTCATACATACCATTTTATAATAGGACATCAATTGGAATATCACTGCCACTTAAACTTTACAAGATCTTCCTCCACCCACAATTTATGTGATTTGTTTTTATCTGCGAGCATCTCCTCCATTTTCAGTTTTTAGGTAGCAAATGTAAAAGCGTATTAGGGCATAACTAGAGACATAACTGCTTGTATAGGTATGTTTATTTTATTATATTTGTTTAAAAAGATCTACATACTCACACATTACAAAATAAACAAACAAAATAATGTTATTTGCTGCAAAACTGAATCTATAGACTGTAGACCTGTCGCTCTCTGCCTGCAGAGTTCTCTGCCCGTGTGAGAACATGCTGCTTTTATTTTTTTAAATACTCGAGGAGAGCTTGTCTATAGTTCTCTTGAGGCGCTATGTCGGGTTAAAGAATAAAACCTTAACTCCTGCTTCAGCCTGCCTAACCCGGCGGCGTTGGATGGGGGAGCTGCAGTCAGCGTGAAACCCAGTCAGACCGTGGTTCACCTTACATGCCCTCAGTGATTCTGTCGGGGCTAATCTAACTCAGCCTCTCACTCTGGCCAACCCCATTCCTCCCCCCCCCCCCTCTCCCTCTCAGCTGTTGGCCACGTTTCTGATCCAGTTTGAGAGGTTACGCGGGGTCCAGTCCTCAGGGGTCCTCTTCATCTTCTGGTTCCTGTCTGTGCTATGTGCCGTCGTGCCTTTCCGCTCCAAGATCCTCCAGGCCTCCAGCCAGGTGAGAACGCACCGTGGAACCTCAAATGCCTCTTCACCTGTCTGTCATCGCCCCTTTCATCTTCCCCCGTCACCGCCTCCCTCCGGCTCTTAGCCCATATTTTGTCGTCTCCTTACCTGCTCGTACTTTGCGGTTATCTTTGCGGTTATCTTTGCTCTTCTTCTTCTTTCACTTCTACTCCTCAGTGTTCTTGAGGTTTAAAGACTACTTCATCAGTAGTCCCCCCCCCCCCCCCCTCTTGTTGTCTCAGGAGTTGGTTTGAAGCTTACAGTGAGTGGATGTCTTGGAGGGGTCAGTCGAGGACACCACTAATCGGAGAGGGAATAGTAGGCCTGTTGTTTCACTGCAGTAGTGTACTTATCTCACCTCTAGTGCTTCGCAGCTCACCAACAGAGCTGCAGCACGCTGCATACAAACCTCTACAGGCCACAACGCAGCATATAATGTGAGAGGCTGGAGAAGATATGCACAGCAGCAGCCAACATGGAAGAACATGTCAAATATGTTATCAAAAGCAGCCCCAAAATACAATATTAACATTTCCATGGGGGTTGATTGTAGTTGTTGATGAATATCTGACCCAGTTGATTATTTGGCTCGGTGTTGGGAATTCTGGCTACCAGAACTGTAAAGCTGTAATCTACCAGAACTACAAGACGCCTAATTAGTGACCTATTAAACATTTCTGCTATAAGGCAGAAGAGTGTTGTTTTCAAGAAAGAAAAGGTTAACTTTCAGCTGCTATTATAAATATAA